TTAATATTCTTAGGATTACAATGATTCTTATTAACATTACTTGGAACTCAGAAAACAAAAAGAGGAAGAACTTGCAACCTTTGATGATATTTACAGAATTTATACCACCTAGGTTGTTTGAATTTTACACCATAAATCATAAAATTATTCAATCTTATAATTATACATATTAATCTTATGTTTACCATTGACAATAATTTAATCGTAATTCTTATTTATTTATATTTGGTTTATATTTAATTTAACAATATATGTTTATTAGAATAATTTATATCATATAAATATCTTGACTTCCTTAGTTACAATTTTATCATCTATTAAATCTTGTTCCATTCTAATTAATATATTTGCATTCTAATTAATATAATTGGGTTATAATTTATATTCAATTTTAATTGAAAGTGATATTAGAATTATAAAAAGCTTTGTTAATATTGATTTACAATAATTATTTTATAATGTCAATAACTGTTTCGACCTGTCAATAGATATGTTAATCACCATTAAACCTTAGTCCTTCAAAAAATCTATGGACTTTCTCCAAATCCGATAGATTTGGCAAATTGGCAAATCCAACATTGTATATGATGATATTGATCAAAATTTTAGTTGCTAATAAGCATTTTACAATCTACCATCATAGATTGAAAAAAGATCAGCAGGTATTGGTAAAGGCAATAAGTACATTATAATTGATAAATTGCAGAATTGATTTTACCAAAGTTGTTGTTCCAAGTCCATCTCCTCAATAATATAATTTAGGTAGTGATGTCTAATTGAATTTAAAAAAAAACAAAGGATATAAATTTGGTGTGAGTAGAGATAAAATGGCTAGCACAGGTATTCTAGGAACCTTAAATCTCAAAACTCCAGGTTTTAACTCATTTACTTTATTATATAGCACCTGGAACTTATGATTTAGGAACGACTTTAAGTGATATCAGATACACAATGAGACCTAAACCTTAAAAAAGCTCATTAATATCTAATGCCAAAGTTCCAGGACCAGGATAATATGAATCATTACCAGCTATTAATGAGAAGGGAAGATATCCAATATCAAAGTACAGTAACTCATGTGCTACACTTTTTAATCCAAAATCTTCAAAGAGATTCACTACTGATTATTGTATAAACCAATCCCTCTATTATTATTTTAGCCACTAAAGTACCTGGTCCAGGACAATATGGATTAGATAAGACAGGAATTCAATAAGTATTAAAACTTTTACTAATAATTAGGATGGTAGATATTTTGTATCCAAATTCCATGACTCGAATGTTAGAAGTTTTCCAAAAGAAGCAAGAAGAACAGGTTCTAATGAAAAATGTATAAGCATAGTGAAAAATTAGATAAAACACCTGCTCCTGGAAATTATAGATTACCATCTGAATTCGGTTATTATGAAGCTAGCAAAAGTGTTGGACACACTGAACCAAAATGAACAGCAAATATTATCACAATTAACATAAATATATATTCTTTATATCCTTTTTAATATATTTCATACTATACTATTTTTTCAATAGTTTACAAATAAAATCAGTTTCAATCGTTTCTTAAGCTGAATATCCTATTCTAATAGAAATCAAATATAAAACAATACAAAAACATTAAAATAATTATTTAATTTATTTATGGATCAAAAACCACAAGAAGAAGTTGATGAAGAATAATAATTAGAGAATGAAATCAAAAATATTTCTGCTCTTTCTATTTAATTAGTTTGGAAGAAATATAAAACTTTGAGAGCTATTCATTAAACTGTAAAATCTAAAAGAGAGCCTGTAGTTGTTTACTATTCCTCGATTGCCACAAATTAAAAAATAAGATCAGATCAAATGCAACTCTTTCATATGTTAAAAGTGAAGAATATCAAATTCTTTAAATTTGATCTTGTTGATAATAAAATGGCATAAGGATGGGTTAAAGAAATCTTAAATCGCTATCAATTACCTTTTGTTACTATCAATAATGTATTTGTTGGAGGATATGAAGAATTTTAAATCTTATATGAATTGGATCTCTTAATTCGCATTATCAAAAAAGGTAGCATTTTCAAAATTATATTATATAGATTATGAAAAAGAATGCATTCTTTGTGATGAACCTAAGGTTGGAGATGAGTGTCCAAATTGCAATAAGCCTTATGATTTCTTTAAGAAAGACTGAATTATATAATAAAAATAATGAATTTCAGTCTCCCTGATGCTCTCAATTTAATAAAGGAGGGCCGAGCAAATGAAGCTGTCGATCAGTTAAATAAATTTATTGAATGTTTACAACCTCTTAGTCCATAAACACAAATACTAGGTCAATAGCTTGGAATTGATTTGGAATTTTTCAGGATCGTTAAATTCTCTGACTTTTATGATCCTGACCCATAAATATAAGCTTTACGCTTTAAATATTATGCTTATAAAATTGCAAGTATCTATTTAATTCAAAAATAGAGTGGGGTTATTAAATTATCTAATAAAAGAGAAAAGTAAAAAGAAGACATGATTTAATTGAAAAATCAGAGTAATATGGAATTTAAAATGAGATTGGACGTACTTTCGGAATAGATGCTGAATAAAAACAATTTGCAGAATCAAGAATTTAAATAATGTCAGACAAATTGTCTAAGAAGAAATTAATTTATCAGAAATAATTATTATTTCAACTAGATATTGAAAAGAAAAGAACAGATTATAAATTATAATAAGAAGATAAAATTGAAAAAGTTAGAAAAGCATTAAAAACTGATTATGATAATAAAATCTTGCCTGTCAAGGAACATTTAGAAAAAGTAAACGAAAAATTAAAAAATAATCATAAAATGAAAAAGAAATAAGAAGATGATTTGATTAATAAAAGAAGTGAATTACTCAAAAATGCATCTTTAATGTAAATAAATAATTTTTATTTTAGTGATGATAAAATAAATAAATTAGAAGAAATGAGAAAAAATTAAATTGAACATATGAAAAATGAAAGATAAATGAAAAAATAAAGATAACATTCATTTCAAGAAAAATAAAATTAAAAATATGAAGAATATCTAGAAAAAATGAAATAAAAATTAGAACAAAAACGTATTATTATGATTTATTTAATAATAGGTGTTGTTGATGCTCATTTTGAATCCCATAAAGATTTCGGAAAAAGAATTGTTTAAGATAATTTTGAAAAAAATTTAGAAAATGTTCTCAATAAATACTAAAAATCATAACCAATTATTAATAATTTGTTATCAAAATAAATTGATTCGATTCAAACTAAAAAATCAATAGAAAATGAAAAATTTTAAAAGGTTAAATAGAATTTACAATAAGATCATTTTCATAAAGTTGAATAAAGAAATGTAGAGGAAGTTATATAAAGAAAAGAAAAAAGATTATAAGAGGAAACTCTATTAAGAAAAGAGACTTATTAATAGAGAGTTCTTAATTTTCTTTAGAATCGCTAATAATTACAAAGATTACAATCTTAATAAATTGATAGATACAATGCATTTTTTTCTAGGTAAACAACAAGATTGAAAAATATGAGAACATCTAATGAATAGATGAAATCTACTGTTGGGTTTATTTATTATTTATATTCATAGTTTTGCTTTAATGTAGGCCAATAAAATAGAAGAATAGACAGCATAAAAAATGTCTAGAGCAATTCAATTGATTAATGATCCTGATTTATAAATGTAATTTAAACCAAATGAAAAGTTAACAACTCAATAAAAAATAGCTAAGAAAAAATAGGAAGAAATGCAATTGTTATTAAAATCATTTGTAACTAGTGAAATTGATTTGTTGCGATTTTCAAAATCAGTTACAGAAGTAAAAAACGATGAAAATTAATAATAAAAATGATAATATGTTTATTTTCATTGTTCTATGATGATATATTCAGCTTTTTTAATTTTTTATTTTAAGCAAAATAAACAGCCTGCTATCAACAGGAAAAATGTCAGAATGGGTATAATTATTATTGCTGTCAATTCAGGATTTTAGATTGAAAACCACTAATTTAAATATTATTTTACTATTTTCTATTAGGACAACAGCAATGCTCAGAATTATCAAATGTTACATTAAGTGTGCATTAATAAGATGAAATATTAGTTGGTTATGAATTTGCATCAATAGTTGAATTTCCAACATCTCTTTCTTGATTAAAAAACTCTTCATCGTCCACAATATCATTACAAGTTAAATTGACTAAAAAGTAATATTCATCTTTATTAGCTTTTGAGTTTAATGTTGGATTTTGGATTTTAATTTTTCTGCATGAATCTTTAATAGTGATTTTTTTTCCTTCTAAATTAGAAAATCCATTTGATTCTAATTTATATTAATAACCTAGTGTATCCAAAATTTAAGTGTTCACTAAGATAATAAGTAAATTAACAATTATCATCATCATTTTAATAAAATAAAATAATTATAGAAAAAATTTATATAATTTTTTTTATTAGCTTTTATATAATTTCATTATTGTTATTATTGTAAAAATGAATTATACAATTTATTCTATTTCTCCCATAACTCTTAAACAACCTTTTTTTATTTTTTAGATAATTCATTTCCATCTTTATCTTTAATTGGGAGACCAGTTTCATCAAATTCTGAATATTTATCAATTTACTAAGAAAAAAATTCTTTAGGACTTAATTTTGCTTTTTCTAGCTTTTCTATTTCTTCTTTTTTTTTTAATAATTCTTTTTATTAAAGAAGATTTAATTATTATTCTTTTTCCAATTTTAGATCTAAAATATCATATTATTTCCAAACAGAAGGCTTAATTAATATAGATATAAATACTTAATCTTTATCTTTATCTTCAATTTTGATTCCTAAATCAAATAATGATTAATCTCTTAGTTTATCACATATCTAAAATACTTATTACTTATTTTTATTTTAAGAAGCCAATAATACTTCAGATTAAAATTGATTGATTGCATCTACAATAAGGTTTGAAATATTCTTTTCATATTAAAATTGCTTTAAAGTAACAAGATTTAGTATAGTTTCAAAATCATTATTTTTTGCTGCTACTTTCACTTTATCTCTAAGATTACAGACTTCTCCCATTAATTGATGTATATCACTTTAATTTGAAAAAGGAGTTAAGTAATTAATACCTAATAACTAAATTTATAATAAAAATAGATACTCCAAAAATAAAATTAACATAATTAACAGCACTATTTAGAAGTGGAGCTCTGATATTTTTGTTTGAAATTTAAATATTTATTTAATTTATTAATTTATCAGTAGCATCAACAACAGTTGGAAAATCAAAATTATTAATTAAAGCCTAATGTATAATTTATTTAGTTGATCTTAACAAAGTACTAAGCTAAAAGTCAAATTGAGTCCATTTTTAAGGATCAGTTACTTTTGATTCTCTTAAATAAATTTTAGTATTTTAGAAGAATTCTTAATATGATTTATCTTTAGCAATAGCTTATTCCATTTATTCTTCTGAATAATTCTAAGGAGCATCATATTGATGAATAGCAAAGTTTAAACGAACTTATCTTGGAGTATATCTTTTAAGAACTTCTTCAATAGTCATAAAGTTTTTAAGAGATTTAGACATTTTTCTGTCAGCAATGTTTAAATGTCCAAGATGAATGAAATAATTGATCCATTATTCACAATTAAAACAAGCTTCAGCTTATGCTAAAGAATTATCATGATGTGGAAATAATAAATCAATACCACCTGCATGTAAATCAATAGGATTTCCTAATATAGCACTAGCCATAACTGAACATTCTATATGCCAACCAGGTCTTCCTTATCCCCAAGGACTTAACCATTTTGGTTCTTCAGGTTTACTTGCTTTCCACAATGCAAAATCATATGGGCTTTTCTTCTCTGATTGTTTATTTATTTATGATTCTCCCTCTCCTTCTTAAAGCAATTCTGCATTAACTTCTGGTCTCATCTTTGGATAAGTGTGCTTAAATATTAAATAATACAAATTTATACTCCATCAGATATATATTTTTGAACATCAAAATAAACACTACCATTACTTTCATAAGCATAACCATTTGAAATTATTTTTTATATGAAGGTAACTATCTCTGGTACATAATCACTAACTCTTGTTATTACATCAGGTAATTCTATATTCAGAGCTTACATTGCATCAAAAAAGTCTTTCTCCCATACTTTTGTAAATTCAAGAAAATCTTATTTGGCTGCATTTGCCCCTACTATAATCTTGTCATCTATATCTGTAATGTTCATAACACTTAATAAATCATAGTTAAAATAATCTCTCAAAGTTCTTCTTATTACATCTATTCCTAAATAGGTTCTTGCAATATTTCAATTAATATATACCTTGCATGACCTAAATGAGAATTACTATACACTGTTGGGCCACAATAATAGAAACTTTACTTATATTCAATTTATTACTTCACTTATCTACCATTTATAGGTATAAATGGAACTAATTCTGAACCTTTCAAAGAATTAGCTAATTTTAACCCTGTTACATAAGAATCTTCTTTTTATGTTGGCACTTTGTAATGAGCAAATGGAACTTTTATTTGTTGCATTAAAATATTAATTGTTCTTGTTCCCAATTTTATCATTTATGAAGTTAAAATTACCTAAGTCTTAATAGAATTCAGAAGGTGACATATGTTCAAATAAATACATCATTTTAATAATGTGTAATCTAATTTATTTTGTCATAATTAATTATTAATACGAATTAAAACAACTGTTTAATTAATTAACCTTTTCTAATAAATTTAAAATAATTAAATTTTATTATTTATTATAAAAAATTAAATTATAATTATAATTAAATTTCATTCGATGAATGAATATGGAAATTTTAATAATAAATTCAAATTTAGATTCATTACAAATTTTATTTAGTTTTAAAAGAAGATTTTTCTAGATCTTTATAAATAACATAAGTATTTATATTAAAATCATTTAGTATAATTTTTATGATTAATATATAATAATCATGATGAAAAATATAAATCATGAATTTCTTAAATTTGCTCTTAAATCTATTCTATGCTAGCCACCTTAAAAAATTTGACTTCCAAATCAATAGGTTTAAAAATGTCACTACCAACAACCCTCTTAACAGTTTTAAAGTGAAGTTCCTTATTAATTATTACTTAATTCAAAATCAAGGCCAAGAGTACTCTCAATTAATTTTAAACTAGTTCCAATTTCTTTTTTGGATTTTTACTGATTTCTGCATTTTTTTCAAAATAACGATAAACATCTATAACATACTTTCGAAAAGTTAATTTTATATCATTAAAATCAGACTCAAAAAATTCTAAATTAAAGTGTTCATCAGTTTATTTTTTCTTTTTTTAGTTTTTAATAGTTTCTATTGTTAAAAATTATTTCTCCATCATTAAATTATCTTTTAAAACTTTTTTTAAAGTGTTATACGATGTTGATTTTTCTATAAAAGATTTATGATCATTCTTAAATTTATTTAACAAAAATTATTAAAAATAACTTTTAACAATACAGATTGTCTTATCAACAATAAATTAAAGCTAATCTATATATACCAAACCCTCTTATTATGAATATTTATCCTAAATAATCTATTTTAAATTAGTCAACAAATAAATTCTATAAATTTCATTATGAAGTATTTCCCAAATACATTAATCTTCATTTTTATTTTTATTAAAAAATATAAGATTATTAATAAAGTTCTATTAATCCTTCTCTTCTTGGGATATTTAATTTGGAATTATATCTATTAAATAGCTTGTTTCCTTTTCTCTCTTATTGATAATTTAATCAATCTACTCACATATTTTTGGATAATCAATCAAATAAAATTGATAAGTTTCTTCAGATAGTTATTGTTTAAAAAACTTGGCAACATTTTAAAGTTCTATCCTTTAACTTTCCAAATCCAACATTTTTCTAGTTATCTCCTTTAGTGCTTCTGATACTGGAGAACATATCAAAACTTCTTAATAATTTTCTTTAACTATTTTTTAACATGTAATCAGAGAATAAGCTATTTATCCTAATAATAGAGTGTCTAATCTATGATCATAATTCTTTTATACTTACCAAATTTCTGGATAAAAACCAAAATGCATCATTGTTATATTGGATCCATCCCAAAATACATTCTCTATACTAAAGCATCTACCCAAAATTTTATTTTTGTATAACGTTACTAAAGCTTCAAGAATTTAAATTAAAATATTTTTTATGATCTTTTCTGATATAAGATAGTTTTCTTCAACAAATTTCTCTAAACTACGACCTTTGGGCAATCTCAAAAAATAAGTTTAATCATTTAGAGATCTGATTACCTATCTTAAATATTCCCCCTTTATTTAGAAGTCTTTAACTAGATATTCATTGTTCATTCCTGCACTAAACTATATTAGTTCTTCATTATTATATTTAATCTTATCAATACGATATCCATCGCAATTTAATTTTATTGACTCTAACATTTTAAATTATTGTATTTATTAATTTATTTTATAATCATTTATTTTAATCTCAAAAAAATCAAAATTTTGTTTAATTATTCTATTTGGGTTGTTTCTTTAATTTTAATGGTAATGAATTATGGATTATTATTCTTATAGATTAACTTTTGTATTATAAATACTGATAAAATTAACCCTCCCTTATTGAGAATTTAATTATGAAAAAAGAAATATAACATCATAATATATTTAGGGTTTTTATAAATTGATTAAAAATTATATTTCAAAAAGGTTATGAAAGAAAATAATTTTATTAACTTGTTAGATCAACTAAAATGAATTAATATTGCTCTTATTGAAAATTTGAATAAAAAAAGTTGTAGATTACTAGATATTCAAAATTTTAATAGAGCTATCTTATATAAATAAATTATTTTTGGGTTCAATTCTTTAAACCTCATTTCTTAATTAAATCACAAATAATTATGTATTTTTCTAAAATTAAATGAATTGCTACATCATAATCAGTATTTATTGATTAATGTGTCTATTTTTTTTCTAATTGGGTAATTCCAAAAAATTTTTAAACTAAATATAATTTTCATTTATAAATAAAAAAAAGTTGCATGCTACAATAAAATAATAGAAATGATTGAAATAATAGATATGGAGAAAATAATCAAAAACAAATTCATACTTATGTTGAATTTAGGCTTTATTTTGGATTAAAAAAGTCATCGATTAATCAATTTTTTCTTTCAGTCATTTAAGCAACAGATGTGCATTATTAGAAATAATAGTTGCTTAATTGGGAATATAAATATATAAATATTTTATAGACCAAAATTTTGAAATTTTTAGAAATCGGCTAAGAAATATGAATTTTCTAATTCTCTTGCTTTATTATCTTAATTCTAATTAATTTAGAATTAATATAAAAAATTCGTTTTTTAAGGTTTTGCAAAAACTGAAATTTTGAATATTAATATTTTATGAAAAATAGTACAGTCATACTTTTGTTTTTAATCCTTAGTGCTGTTTCGGTATTTGGAGAACCAGTTGTAGTTTCTTAATCATTTACAGGAAATGCTTTTTCGGATGCAGATGGTAAGATTTATGAAATAATTTGATAGGTTGGGTTGTTGCTGGCGGACCAGCTCACGTAACAGAATGTAGCGGCACAAAAATGTTTGGTGGCTTTGGTAAATTTGGTGCCAAGGCGGTTGCAAGTAAATTATTTGAGTTGCCTCCTCACTCTTCTTTAAATTTAAAAGTTTAATTCTGGAAGTATTTTGACTTGTTTATATATATATAGAATTGATTCATGGGATAATGAAGAAGGATACATTTTTGTTGATGACTAGCTAGTGTGGTCAAGAAAATTCAGACATAATGAAGGAGATGGTTAAAAATGTGGAAAGGGTGGAGATTGGATGGAAATGACATTAAATCTAAATTTTGATATCAAACACACTGGACCAACAGCTATTGTAGTATTTACATCAAACTTGAATGAAGCCGCTGATAATGTAATTTATTGATTTATTATTAATAGGAATCTTGGGCTATAAGAGACTTTGTTCTATCTGTCGAAAGATGTCCAGAGGGTTGCTCTGCTTGTCAAGTAGATGATAAGCAAGAAAATTGTTAATTCTGGTAATCATTTTCAAGTAGTTGGGGAGCTTTAGATGCTAATTAATTAGGAGCTGATGGTTGGGAAGTTGCAGGTGGAGAGAAGTCTGCTACTACTTGTGGAGGTAATCTATTAAAATTATTATTTTTAAGGTGTTGCTTTATTTGGTGGATTTGATAAGACAGGTCGTAAAGCGGTTGTTAGCAAAGTCTTAAAAGTCAATCCTCATTACAAATTAAAGATTAAAGTACTTTGGGCTAAGATTGATTCATGGGATAATGAAGCTGCTTAAATTAAAGTTGATGGAAAAATGGTTTGGGAAAGAAGATTCTAATGGCATTAAGGTTACTTTGGAAAGATTTGTGGTTGTCCAGTTTATGAATGGAAAACTATGTTTGCTAGAACAGAAGTTGATATTGATCATACTGGTGATTAAGCAAGAGTTGAATTTACAACTACTCTTGATGAAGCACCAAACAATGAATCATTTGGATTAAGAGATCTATACGTTTTTTATGCATCCTGCTCAGAAAATTGTGCTGAATGTACAGGACCAAAAGATTCTGATTGCAAAAGTATTTATACTATTAAAATTATAGAATGTGCTAATAATTGGGCTCTTGTAGAAGGTAAATGTTAAGCTTTACCAAACTTCATTCTTTTAGAATAATCATTTTTAGAAGATAAATTTACAGGAATTAATGGATGGATTCTTGATAAAAATAAGGGTGGAAGATAAATCAATGAATGCAGTGGAAAATCTATGGTAGGAGGTTTTGATATCATGGGTCGTGATGCTAGTGCTACAAAGACTTTTGATATACCACCACACAAAAGACTTAGACTCTAAACAACAATTTACAAAATTGACTCTTGGGATGGGGAATTTATGATAATAAAAGTTGATGGAACTGATGTATGGAAGACTTCATGGAATCTCTAATTTGGAGGTGCTAATTTCTGTGGTTAAGGAATATGGTTTGATGGTATTGTAGGAGTAGATCAAATATTTAATCATTAAGCTCCTAAGGCTCAAGTTGTATTTACATCCACCTTAAATTAAGATGCTTCAGATGGTATTTATTTATTTTTATCATTTAGAATCATGGGGTTTCAGAGATTTCAAATTATGGTATGAACCAAAAGAAGCTTGTGCAATTTTCTATAGTGAATGTGATTACAAAGGAGCTTCATTTGAATTCTGCTCTAAATCACCTAATTTCTAAAAGGATAACATTCCCCCACAAATCAGATCCATTAGGGTTCCACCATAAGGAAGAGTAACTCTATATGAGAACACTGATTATAATGGAAAGAAAGTTACCTACACCTCAGATCAAGCTTGCATTCAAAATTTTGATGTATATATTTTGAACCAATTATTTAGTTTTCATTGATTCAAATGAGTGGTCATGTAGAAGGAGGCTGGGTCGAAGTTGAATATTGATACATATGCAAATACATAGTACAAAATATACAAAATAATCACATCAATTTTTTTAATCATTTCAAAAAATTATTATATGTATTGTTTGAATCGAAGAAAAAAAATCAAATCAAATTCAAATAAACTTAAAACAAGAAAGGCTTAATTCTTTAAAAATAATTTAGGTATATTTTTATCAGGTAATCTTTCAAATCTCATTTTCAGATTTGATCTTTTTATTTATCTATATGTTCATAAATTAAAATTATATTATTCCAAAAAATTTTCCAAATTCTCATTTCTTTATTTCTTACATCAGTCGCATCCAGAAAATAAAAAATTATCTAAAATTTAAAACTAGATTTTTAGTTAAATTTTAATACCCAAAAACATAGGATATAACAAAGAAAATTCTGAATAATCTTAAAATCAATTTAGTGTAAGAATAAGAATTGTATATTCTTGTCTCGACTTTTTATGTTGAACCAGATGTTAGGGAGGAAGACAATAAAATTTTAATTAAAATGATCTAATATATCACTTTAGTCTGAATTTTTGAAATAAATTTATTGAAAATTGACTAAATTTTTACTTGATTCTTATCTTATTTAGCAATTTCATTTGAAAAGTAATTTAATTTTGTTTTTTTACTTATTAGCAGTTAATAAATATAATAAATAATTTTAACATTATTTTAACCAAAGTCGGCTATTTTATTGATTATCAATAAATTTAATAAACATTTTTGAATTTCCAATAAAATTTAGATTTTTATCATAACTTTAACTATTTTATTTGAATCTTTAATATTTGAATTTTTTGCAAGAAAATAATAGGAATAAATTCTATCAATAGGATAATGATATAAATATTAATATATTTTTCGAGTTAAGATCATTATAAATTTTAATTTAATTAATATAAAAAATTATAAAAATCACTATAGGATGTATATTAAATAAAATATAAAATTTAAAAAGTTCGTTTTTAATTTATATTGATCCAGGAGATATTATTTTATTTATGAATTTCAGAATAGCTATCTTATTATTCTTAGTGTGTGGCGTTTCGAGCGTATTAGGAGAGTTAGTTGTTGTATCAAAGTCGTTTTAAGGAAATCCTATTAAGGAGGCAGAAGGTTTTTAAGGATAATAATCTTTTAGGTTGGGCAGTTGTTGGAGCACCAAGTTTGATTACAGAATGTGGTGGCACATTTATGTTTGGAGGATTTAGAGTATTTGGAAGTAGAACAACTGTAAGTAAAGTTTTTTAATTACCTCCTCATTCACTAATTAACATAAAGGTTTAATTCTGGAAGTATTTGAAGATATTTATTTATATAGAATTGATTCATGGGATAATGAAGAAGCATATATTTTTGTAGATGATTAATTAGCATGGTCAAGAAAATTCCAGGTAAATGAAGGAGATGGATAAAAGTGTGGATAAGGTGGAGATTGGAGGGAAATGACATTGAACCTTGACCTAAATGTAAGACACACTGGAACAACAGCTATTGTATTGTTTACATCAGACTTGAATGAAGCCCCTGATAATGTAATTTTATTAATTTATAATTAGGAATCTTGGGCTATAAGAGATTTTGTTATATCTATAGAAAAATGTCCAGATGGTTGTTCTGCTTGTTAATTTGATGATAAAACCGAAAATTGTTCATTCTGGTAATCATTTTCAAGTAGTTGGGGAGCTTTGCAATCTAATTTATTAGGAGCTGATGGTTGGGAAGTTACAGGAGGATAAACTAGTTCTAGTGATTGTGGAGGTAATCTATTAAAATTTATTATTTTTAAGGTGTTGCTTTATATGGTGGTTATTAAAAAATGGGCGGAAGATTTATTGTTAGCAAAATCTTAAAAATCAATCCTCATTACAAATTAAAGATTAAAGTACTTTGGGCTAAGATAGATTCATGGGATAATGAAGCTGCATAAATTAAAGTTGACGGAAATATGGTTTGGGAAAGAAACTTCTAATGGTATGAGGGTTACTCTGGAAAAATTTGTGGTAGTCCAGTCTATGCATAGAAAGCTTTCTTTGCTAGAACAGAAGTTGATATTGTTCACACTGGGGATTAAGTTAAAATTGAATTTACTACTACTCTTGATGAAGATGTAAATAATGAATCATTTGGATTAAGAGATTTTAATATTTATTATGCTGCTTGTTCAAAAAATTGTGCTGAATGTACAGGACCAAAAGATTCAGATTGCAAAAGTATTTATTATTTTAGAATTTTAGAATGTGCTAATAATTGGGCCCTGGTAGAAGGTAAATGTTAAGCTTTACCAAGTTTCTTTGTTTTAGAATAATCATTTTTAGAAGATAAATTTACAGGAATTAATGGATGGACAATTACTAGTAAAGTACCTGCAGGTAAGGAAATTGGTGAATGTGGTGGTAAATCATTAGTTGGTGGTTTTGGAATTTTTGGAGTTGATGCAAGTGCTTCAAAAACTTTTTAGGTTCCATCTCATAGAAGACTTAAGTTATAAACCACATTTTATAAAATTGATTCTTGGGATGAAGAATTTATGATCATTTAAGTTGATGGTGTTGAAATTAAGAGATTTTTCTGGAATCTTTAAACTGGAGGTGCAAATATATGTGGTTAAGGAATTTGGTTTGATGGTATTATACCATTTGAATAAATCTTATTTCATTCAACTCCTTAGGTTTCAATTTTATTTACGTCTACCCTGAATTAAGAGGCTGGAGATGGTATTTATTTATTTCCTATCATTTAGAATCATGGGGTTTCAGAGATTTCAAATTATTTTATGAACCACTAGAAGCTTGTGCTATTGTCTATAGTGAATGCTTCTTTAAAGGTAAAAAAACTGAAATCTGCTCTAAATCACCTAATTTCTTAAAGGATAAAATCCCACTCTAAAGCAAATCTATAAGAATTCCTCCATAAGGAAGATTAACATTATTTGAAAAGAATGACTACAATGGAAAAAAAGTTACTTTTACTGAAGATCAAACTTGTCTTGATAATTTTGATGTAAATATTTAAAATTAATATTACTAGTTTTCATTAATTCACTTAAGTGGACAAGTTGAAGGAGGATGGGTTGAAGTTGAACAATGATATCCTAAAAATCATAAAAATATCATAATATTTATTTTCTATTCCTTTTTCGTTAAATTTTTAGAATAAATTTTAAATATTACAATTTTAATATAAATTAATATTCTCATCTAATTTTTACTTTATTAGATACTGATTTTTGTATCAATAATTAAGAGTTCTTAATCAAAATCTTAATTCATACCCAAAAGTAAAACTATTAGATTTTAAAATACAAATTTATTATTTTAAACCTTCTTAAGAATAAATTATGGACAAAATAAATTTGATAAATAAATTCGAGTTCATAGAGTTAAAGTAATGAAACTCATAGTTTTAAATTAAAGTTAAAATCAATTAAATTTCGTATCATGACACATAGATATAAAGATAGGACTACTCCCAAGAAAAAATAATAGATCAAAAAAAATTGTAATTAATATTAGAAGCAAACTGCTGATTATATAAATTAAAAGTTGAATCCTTTTATTAAAGAAAGGAAAAAATTATAATAATTAATTTGTAAACATGATCTAAGATCCATAAAGATTATCTTTAAGATGTATCCAAATATACATGAGTATTTATTCAGTTAATATTTATATTAATTTAAAAATTTAAGAATCTTAGGAGATTTTTTAAAATGCTAAAAATTCTTAAGACTTTCTTTTTTGAAGATTATTAAGAAGATCATAAAAGAACTTAATTTATCAATGTTTAAAGGTTAAAACATAATAAATAGAATTAATTCGTTAATCTAATTTATTTTGAAGATGAGTTAAAATTGATTTTAAATGAGCAATGAAGGTTAAATCATAACATAATTTGTTTTTAATATTAATTAAGAGGATATTTATACTAAATTTTGAATCAATGAAAAATTTTAAATAAAAGTAGTGTCTTAACTTTACAATATATTGTATAAACACAACAAGTTATATTAATAAAAGACTATGTTCAAATTATTATGTTTTTATAAATAAGATAAATTGATTAGATAGGGTCTGATATATTAAGTGGAAAAGATTTATAAATTTATATTGTTCTTTAGATTATTAATGTAGTGTATTTAATAAAAATTATAGAACTAAGGTAGATTGAAAATTTATTTATTAATACCAATTGCCAATTTTGTTCAGGAATTACAATAAATTTTTGTAGGGAATTTGAGCAGAGAAGTAATCAAATATATTGTCAAGAAAAAATCAGGAAATTAAAAAATAAAAAGTAAAATATTTTAATGATTTCAAAACTTTACAATAAATTACATATTTAATCTGATTCTATAAATATGATGAGATCAATAATGGAATAGATTTGAAATATAATATTAGAATGAATTATCATAATATAATTTATTAAAAAAATAAAAATGGATTCTAATAGTATGAAGGAGATGGATAAAGAAATTTAGTTTCTTTAAAAGAGGGTTAAATTGATTTAACAAGAAAATGAATTGTTGAGAAAAGAAAATCAATTATAAAGATAATAGCTTAGTCAGATGAAAAATACATTTACAAATATAATTTCAACAAAAAGAATAAAGACAGCAGATGGAAGGAGCAATTCAGTTTCGGAGTATAATTAATTATGAAACAAATAGACGTTTTTAAAATGAAGATGCTTTGAGATAGGTATTAGAGATGCAAAGAAATCGAATTAATTAAATAGAGAAGGATAATGAATAATACAAATAGAAATATGAGAAAATTTTATTTTAAGATAAATCATAACCTTATTCATAAACTTAAGTTAATGAGTAAACAATAACCGAGTTATATGATTTAAGAAAGAAGAATGGTGATTTGGAATAGAGAATAAAAGATATGATTAGTTAACATGCAAAGGAATTAGCTAATTATAGATAAAAGATAGCTTAATAGGATGCCTAATTTATGGTATCATAATCTTAGGGTTTTTCAACACCACTTTCATAATAATCATAGAAATTGGAGCCATTAAATAATGGAGGATACTAGATTCTAAGATAAGGAATAAAGAAATACTGAATATTATGATACTAATCATATATAATTTAGGAATAATGGATTAATTTATAAATATAATTATAATGATATAATAAATGTAAGAAAATCCAGTCAAAACAATAGATAAGATAATAAAGATGGAATTTTAATGAATATAAAGTTGTTTAAAATAGAGAAGTAAAAGATATAATGTATAGCAGCTATATCATTTTCTGATTTAATTAATGAAGCATCTTTTAAAGGGATCTATTTATGGATAATTTGGAGAGAAGGATGAAATGAAAGTATTTTTTAAATTTCTGATGATGTTAAGAGATAAGTAGAAGTAGTAGAATAGAATGGAGAAAGGAATGTGAAAGTTAAGTAAGTAATAAATTAATAATAGAATTTAACCAGATGATGTTGAAGTATATAATACTGAGATAATATTATAGGCTTTAGAGGAAAGAGTGATGTGGTTTAAATAAGTTTATATAGTATAATTATGAATTTATTATAAAATAATATTTATAAATGCAAAGATTCATTTTGAAGCCTTAATTCTCCTACTCTTTAGTTTATTAGAAGGGAAATCCAACAACAGTAATTGGTGGGAAATTGCCAGTTTATGTTACTCCTGCACCATATGGTTTAGTTGTAATATAAGAATGGTGGGGTCTAAACTCATCTATTTGTAAAACAGCTGATATTATGAGTACTTATGGATTCAAGTGTGTTGTACCTGATCTATATAGAGGTAAAATAGCAAAGGATACTGAAGAAGCAGGACATCTTCTCTCTGGATTAGATTGGAAATAAGCATTAATAGATATAGAAGAGTCAGCTCGTTTTTTGAAAGAAGACTTACATTGTAAAAAAGTAGGAATTTTAGGATTTTGTATGGGAGGTGCACTTAGTATAGCATCTATTACTACTTCTAAAATTATCTCTGCAGCTGCTCCATTTTATGGTGTTTGTGATTTGAATACATTTAAACTATCTAATGCTAATGGACCTATTTTAGCTTAATTTGGATAAAATGATGATATGGTAGGATTCTCTTCAGTCTAGGATGCTAAAAGATTAGAATCAACTGCTTTATAATAAGGTAATAAAAATTTATAAGTAAAAATATGGTCTGGTGTTGGACATGCTTTTTGCAATTAAGATAGACCAGAAGTTTATAATTAAGTTATTGCTAAATAAGCATTAGATTTAGCAGCAAAGTTTTTACATGATAATTTAAAATGATTCCAAAAATTATTATCAATAACAATAGTTCAATCACAAACGATGTATTTTTCATATTCTTCAATTATCTGATGAACATAATTTAACATTTTGTAATCTTGTAAAGCTACTTTAAAGCTCTATTGAAATTCATAATATTAAGAATAAGTTATTTTGAATCTTTTATGAATTATTTACAGATCCTATTTCTTAAAAAATCTAATTCCATAAAGTAACAGATTTAATTTACATAAAATACTTTAACTCATATTTGCTTCTTCAGTTTCATATATATAATTAAGATGTCTTTATTCAAATTCATATTCTAGGATCATCTGAGCTTTTTAAATTAAAAAATCTTCTCCAAGATTTACAATTAATTGACCTCTTGATTCACCTAGAATAATAGGTTTAATTTCTTCCCAATCCTCTTTAAAATCTTCTATTATTAAAGTGTCATTTGTTAATAATTTCACTTCTTAAATTGCTTTCTGCTTCAGTTTCTCAAATATCCTTTCATTTATTATAGTTTTCTTTGAGTGTATTTAATGCAAATCATCTCTTGTTATAGCCTTTAAATTGTATCTGAAAAAGTAATGGAAAATATTGCAGCAATGTGCTGTAAATCTTTGTTTCCCTCTTCGAGACATAAGTTCAGATAACATTGTATCTTATTAACAATTATTAATAAAGTTTTCAATGAATTAGTTAAAACCTAGCTAGTTCACATAATATTGGAGATCTTTCTTATTAATTATTGCGTATTTATAAATATCCATCCTACGTAATAGTAGTCTAATATTTTTCCAAGGAATTTTTGTTTCTTATAATGTTAAAGATAGATAATATTTAAAATTTGTTAATTGTACATTAGTTAATGCATATTTAACATGTCTTTGTCTTAAGGTTTCACAAGAATAATTTGGAGAATCTAAATGATAAATGAGTTGAAAAAATAATCTTGCAAATTTTATTTCTTAAGTTGCTACATCAATTTTTTCAAAATAAGGAGCAAGTGTAACATCTGATAGGATTTTTTGATACATTGATTTTGATATTGCTTATATTCCTTCCTCTCCTCCATAGATTTCATATTCTAAAATTTCATTCAATATATATGGTCTCATATTTTCTATTTTTTCACAACAATTAAACATTTTTTCAGTAGAGATGTTTAAAAGCATAAATCTATTTAGAAAATGATATTTAAATCTAAAGAAATGAGCATGAGTTAATTGCATACCTAAATGAACTGCTCTTAAACGATTTAAATCGAAAAAAATTTATTAGTCAAAAGCAGTTCCCAATAAATTCCTAAAAATTAGTTTAACTCCAAACTAATTTTTATTTGGAAATTTAGGAGACAATATATTATCTTTACGGGTTATATCAATATATAATTAATCTACTTCAAAATTAAGAAGATCTTCAGTTCCTTAAGGTTTTGAAATCACTTTACGTTTCTCTGATAACTAATAAAGATAACCTTTTATTAATTATTCTTGAGATTTTATTGGTACTAATTACTATTAAATATTTTAGTGGCTAGCTTTTCTAATAACATCATTAAATAATTATGAATTGCGCATTAAGTACATAGGTTTTTTTTTCTAACTCCATTACCTTACAGTAAAGAGTGGTAATTCTGAACTACTTGTTTTAGTGCTGGATATTGGTTAAAATCTTAAATTCATTTAAGGATCTCCATTAGATGCTCGTCTATTGCTGAGAGCATAACTTAAGTTTTATTCAATTTATATCGACTTAATTTATGATTCTTAATTAGTCCTTAAAGAATCCTAATAAGATTTTTGATAATTCTTTTTAACTGTTTTGTATTATTGTCGAATTGCATAATTTTAGACGAAATCCTTAAATGATTATTAAGAGTCAGATATCATTATAAAATATATAATATATATATATATCAATCGAAAACTATATGTTTTTTGTAATCATCTATTACATCAAGAATAAATTATAATTTTTACGGTTCATCCTGCATAACTGTTTTCATAGCCTAAATTAATAAAATGTCAATATAGTACTTATTAAAATTCGAAGTAAGGTTATTCTCTAATTCTTAATCGTTTATGAAGAACTTCAATATCAGTTCTTTTGTAGAAATGAAGTCCATATAGGATTAAATTGAGTTTACATTTTAAATTTTATCCAACAGGTGATTCATTATCCTTCTTTATATTTAAAGTTTACCTCAAATACTTTATATAATAAAGGCCGTTACATTATTTCATTTTCAAGTTTTGATGCAATTCTATTTATAACAAGCTATCCACCTAATTATTTAATTGTAGTCTTTCTGGATTTGTTCATAAGAATGGGTGTAATTTCTTCCCAATCCTCTTCAAAATCGCTTAATAAAATGGGATCATTTGTTACTTTGCTTACTGCTTACATGGCTTTCTCTTTGAATTTCTAAAAGACTTTATCTGAAATAATAGTTTTATTCTTATGAATTGATTCAATATCACTATTAGTAATAGACTTAACATTATCTCTGAAAAAATAATGGAATACATTTTCACAATGTGCAGTAAATCTTAATTTACCCCTTTTTTAAACTAAATCAAATAGAATTGGTTCACTTGTACATAAGCGAACAAAATTATCAATAAATTCCCTATAACCTCCAGGAGAATTATTAATACATTCTTACAAAGATGATTTATTTAATATAGCAAATTTGTAAGTGTCCATTTTTCTAAGCAATATTCTAATATGTTTATATCTAATTCCTAATTTTTATAATGTTGTAGATAAATAAAACTTAAAATTTGCTAATTGTACATGTGTTAACTTATATTTAACATGTCTTTCTCGTAATACTTCAAGTGTATAATTTGGAGATTCAGTATGATCAATTAATTGAGCAAATAATTTTGCAAATTTAATTGCTTATTCTTCAAGTTCTATTGCTTTAAAATATGGACTTAAAGTATAGTCCTTAAATATCTTCTCATACATATTTTTAGCAATCTCATTTATTCCAAAATCTCCTCCAAATATTTCAAAATCACTTTTTTAATTTAATATTAATGGTTTAAAATTTTCTATTTTATGACAACCCTTAAATAGTAATTCAACAGGAGTCTCCATATCCATAAATTGGTTTATAAATAAATACTTAAATCTTATGAATTACTCTTTTCTTATAAATAAAGGTGCATGGATACTTCTCATTCTAAATGGATCAAGCAAAATTTCTTACGTGTATCCAATCCCAAGAATACTCTTGTAAATGTCCTTCAAATATTTCAAAGATTTTCCTAAGAATTTCATTTTTAACTATCTATCTTAAATAATTCGTGAATAGAGTGTTTCTGAATGTTAATCTAATAGTTCATTACTACCATATTGTTTTATCTATGTTTTTATTATTTTCTAAAATTTAGTTTCAAAGAATTTGCTTATAATTTCTGTTTATGTCATAGGTTATTGATGTTTTAATTCTCTATGACTATGTTGTATTTTAGGCTTTTTTAACAATACAAGTTAATCTTAAACATTTCTTAAACAACTAAAATTTTATGCCTTTGTTTTTGGTTAAATTGGAGTAAACTTAAAATGATGAGGAGTATTTGGAAGTACAATATCTTGAGAATCACTTATCATTGGTAAATGATATAAAGTTTTAGTAGGAGATTATTCTTGACTTCGGAAATTCTTAGTTTTACTTACAAAATCTTTCATTGCTATTTGACATTAAGATGAATGCTTAATAGACAACTCATTTTATTAGTCTTAACGCAACAGAGTACTTAACTATTTTTCCCATCTTTATTTTTTTGAATTCATTGGAGAACCTTATATTGGAGATAATTGACATGGATGTTATAATTTCATTTCTTCTTTCGTTTACTGCATTTAAATAAAGTCTCTGAATGTCATACTTTTACTATCCTATTTCATATGTTCAGTTGGATATTTATAAGGACACCTAGAAGTTGTTGTAAGATTATGCATCATTATTTTAATTATTATAATATATTCATAATTAAGTACTGACACAAATCTCTTAATTACCATTCTTTATTACCTATTTTCTATCTCAATCAATTAATCACATCTAAAAATTATCCACAAATTTAGCTATCTAAAATTATTACATAAATTTTTATTTAATTCTGTTAACTATAACTCACACATTAAAAGAATGTTTAAGCTTGAGTATTTATAAAATGTGCTTGTTATAAACAATTCCTTAAACTTGCAAGAAGATGAAACCTAAATTAATTTTTAATTATTAAAGCTCTTTTTATATTAAATTTGATACAATAATTTAACGCTTACTTTAAAATTTTAAAATACCATGTATATTTAACACCAATCACTATCAATAATTTATTCTATAAACTATTATAGAGTGATTTAACTCAATTCAATAGCATTTAGATTCTTAATTTTTTTAGAAAATTAAATTAATCTATCGATTCTTCCAAATTTTATGTTAAATTTCTAGGTTTATCTAATGTAATGTAATTTAAATTTGAAATAAGCTTCTCCTTGGAAATTACATATTATATAATGAAGAATAATTATTTTTAAAAATGATGGATGGAGAATAGTGGAAAATACTTCATTGAGCTATTGAATGAAATAATTTTGAATAATATTATACTATATCTATTTTAGATTGATAAAAATGTATTTTGTAAAATAAATGTAAATTATTCAATATATTTGTGTGCTATCTAAGTTTTTTAAAGCTCTTGAACTAAATAAATTGAGAGAATTACATACCCATAATAATTGAAAGGCTAATAATTGCCATCACTTTTTAATTTATATGTATTTGGTGTTCCTGCTTAATAAAGATTATATTATTAGGTTTTTAGATTGTTTTATACTGGTACTTAATACTATTAATATTATTGTGATTAATGATGTTATGATTATTAATTTTGTTATTTTGGTAACTATGATTATGATAGTGGCTGTTATTATTATTGTAATAATTATTATTATTATTATTGTTATTATTGTTATTATTATTATTATTATTATTATTATTATTATTACTATTATTATTATTGCTATTATTATTATTATAACTACAATTATTATTATTCCTATTAGTATTAATAAACTTATTGTTATTGAGGATTTGCATATTAGGATTATGTCATTTGTTGATTTTATGTTTGAGATTGTTATTATGGTTATGTATCACCACTAATAAGCATATTACCTACATTTTAATAATTAATTCTTTATTCATTGGATTATTGAGTATGTCTTTGAGGAGCATAATCTTTTTAGATTTAATTGAAGGGTTCTTTTCGAAAGATATTATCTTGTGCTAGATATGTAAAATTATGATTGTAACGCTATGGATCTCTTCCAGATGGACTAATGATTGAATAATTGATAAGCGGTTTCGTAAAATTTTTGAGTGGATCCGGACTAGATAATATAATTAATAATACACATAACTATGATTCTTAAGTAATGATTGACTGATAATCTAAGAGGGAGGTTCAATCTTTCTAACTCTTGGACGCTCATGTAATCGTTGATCATCAGGATAGAGAATAGGTTATTTACGTTTATTTTTTTAGCTAAATTCTTCTTAGAAGTTTCTAACATAAAGCTCTGGGTCTTGCATTAAATTTATATAAAATGAATATTTTATTTTTTATGAACAGATAACTTAATATTATATAATTTGTAAAGTGAAATGAATAATAAATAAAGAGAAGCGAGATTAGAAATGTAATAAAAATGTAATAAATGCAAAAATAAATGAGATAATTCAATAAACTAGTTTGTTGTTGATCCATCTACCATCCATGATTTTAGCATTCATACAATAGAATATTCCTGGACCATTAATAAAGTCTTTTTAGAAAGTACCAACAAAACGTTCACCATTAGTTAGATAAAGTGTACCTTGACCTTCTTTATTATCTTAATCAAAATTGCCACTATATTTAATCCAATAACTAAGAATATGGAAGTTAATACTCTTCAACATTATCAAAATCTCTATAATCAAATGATTCTTATAATGGTTGAGGATGTTCATTATAAAGAGTACCATGACCTTAGAATTAATCCTCACTCCATTATCCTTAATATGCAGGCTAACCAGTTGCATAATAAAGTGTTCCTATATAAAGTACATATAATTTATTACCATCTCCATGCATTTTATTCTCCTTCCATCCACCATCATATAATCCACCATCTTAATAATAAAATTTACCTTATCCATGTCTCATCCCATTAGCTTTCATACCTTCATAACGAGATCCATTTGAATAATGTTCTACAACGAATTCAGGTCGACTTACACTATCAGCTTTAAATTAAGGAATATCGTATGGTAATGAAAACTCTTTAGTTTATGTTGTCGTTGTTATTTATTATGGAAGATTAGTTGAATCACTTAAAATCTTTGAAAATTTAAAATATTCCTATCTCTAAGTTGTTTATTCAACTTCCTCATCTGGTTAAGGATCAATATTCTCATCAAACTAAGATTATTTACTTACACTTTCACTAAGTTGTTTGAATTATAAATTGTCACATTAATCAGGTTACAAAGGTTAAATTGAAACAATTTACTTTTATATAGGATTAGTTTATTAATTCTATTAACTATTGAATTGGCATTCTTATAGTTATTATGTAGTATAATTCATTCTAGATTAATTTTGTTATGTAACAGTTCTCGTATTTGACATTTTATTTGAAAAAGGTTTTGGAGGAAAATAGATTTATTATTATTATCCACTTTTATTACTAAGTATTGATAAATCTGTTGCAATAGTTGGTATAGCATAAGTATAAGTTTAATTAACGTCTTTACTACTTTATCTTGATCCTCTCAATCTTGGAACTGAACTATCTCTGTTATCTCTTACTTACAATTATTATTGAGGTACTAAAATTTTACCTAAAGGAGTAAGACTTCTTTAAGAAGTATCTGTCTTTATTGTATATTAATGGACATATTCCAATGGGGAAATACCTTAAACTTATTAGACTCTTCTTGATTAAATCTATTATACACTATTCACTTGAGTTAAACATGGTTAAATTGTTGTTGTATGCTATTATTATTATATTGTCTATATTGTATTAGATTAATAAGTAGGATCAATAATTGGTATTAATTATCTTTAAATCACATTAGGAACATATTATTATTTATTCACTAATTAATAATTAGTAACGTATTGTTCCATTTATAAAAAATCTAGTCTCTAATCTTCTTTCAATATTAACATTGTTGTTAACCAATCACAAAATTGTTAACCATATCTCATTCTCAACTTTTATAATTTATTATTCAAAACATCTTCAATTAATAACCCTTATTCATATGAATAACAATCTGAACTTGGTTAATTTAAAGCCAAATGTAAAAATAACATACCCAATGTGAATAAATCGCTTTTATATTCATTATGTTTGGGTTACCAATTGTTTATCTATATTGATTTTACTAAAATTGGAGATAAATAAATGCATTCCAAACAATTAGGATTTTATAAAATCTACATAAAATTAGTGCTATGTTAGAAATACATAGGATCTGTCACTTTTATTATCTCATCCATCAAATATAAATATTTGAGTTATAATGAATTATGAGGAATTTCATTTTTTTACATGCATGCTAATCCTGCTATTGCTTATTTCAAATATGAAGTCAATTATATTTCATTTAGAGCTGGAACTAATTCTAAATTACCAGTTGGATATTCGAATAATAAGTACACTTTATAGAATTATCCACACAGTTATTACTCAAATTAGTAAAAGTAATTGCTCAAATTAAGAACATTTTAATGATTGATTTTATGTCTTACTTAATATTGTTGCACAGCTTTCTTAAAGTGAACCTCATCTGTTATGTTCAAAGTCCTAAGAATTAATTTCTATTGAGCATCTCTTTTATGTTGTAGAATTTGACACTCAGGAAAGTCTATAATCATCTACTATACAACATACCATTGTTATAAACATTTATTTATCGAAAGTGTTCATATAGCTTGGTAATTGGTTTTGAATCTGTTGCTCCCATTTTTGATTTCAAAATATAATTAACTGCCTTTATAATATATTCTTCATTATACGAACATAAATGTATTAAATATTTATTGATAAACAATAAATCAATTTCTCATTTTCATTTTACCTTATAATTGAATAATAGAAGAATTCGTAATGCAGATTAACAAAATTTTTGTAAAACAATTTTAATATGAAAATGTTAAGAAATCTCATTGTAGTATTTTAGGAAAATAATACTTTTAATTCATATTAGAATCAATTAAGTTTTTTAGAGTAAATTACCTAGATAAACCTTATTGATTATGAGAGAAGAAATATTGGCTTTAATTTAAGATGTGTAAAATAATATTGAAAAATTATAAGTATATTATAAAAATCATTTTTAACTGTTAATACTGTTACGAAACTCTTGTTTGACTAATTATACAAAATAGGGGCAATCATTCATATGTTTTCTAATAATTCTTAAGAGTACGGATTAATCCAATTTTCTAATTTTAATTAATTTATCCATTTGATCCAAAAAATTGCTTAAGTCATAGTTATATGTTTTACTCATTATTTAATTGATTCAAGAATTGAGTAGATGTAGGTAAAATTTAAATGGGTTTCTTAGGTGTTTAGATTTGTGAATACTGAGAGACTTGAGAAATATTAAGTTTAGGAGTATAAAACTCTGTTTATGTTTATTTCTTGCTTGATTGTTGATTGAGCATATAACCAAGTTGATTTATATTATTAGTGCATTTACTTTAAGACTTTGATAATGATATTAATTTAAACTTAGATTAAGTCTTTGTAATTATTAGTCTAAATAGAACTTGTTGATGGATACTTTTCTGTTCTATTTATTGATTATAATTGATCAATTTGATATTTACCATCTAAAATATCTGAATAGCGTATATATTCTTAATAGTTCATTAATATTAATATAATAAATATATGGATTGTATTCGTTTCTGGACTGTCATATTTGCATGTGGATTTATTTTATTTGTAATTAAGTATCACTTAATTGTAGTTGTCCTTGTTCTTAATACTTAAATATTAAATTGAATTTTATAGATATCCTGTGAAGAATCAAACAAACTCAGAAACAACAGCATTAGTATCAGCATGTGTTTATTTGGCTTTGACTATTGCTTTTATAATTTGGGGAAGGAGAAGAGCAGAAAAACATAAATTAGATATTTAATAACAATATAGCAATTTACCAGCTAATTAATTTGAAGCAGCTCCTGAAATTGAGAATGATAAAAAGATGGAATCGTGAAAAACTATATATTATTATGAATTCGCAATAATAATCTATTTTATTTCATTTTTTGATACTAGGAAGTTTAAATTGCTTCTTTATATCACAAATACTCTTTGTTGTAGGTGTTTTGGATTTAAGAACAGGTTTTTTAATTGCATCCAAGAGTGGACTCTTGTTAGAATCAAAATCAACTGATTTCTTAACCAACAATACTTAAGTGCTATTATTTTATAATTATGGTTTTTTAAGCAACATAGTCTGACTATGCATTGTCGAATTAGTAATCTTTATTTTGGTAAGTGGATATTTCTTTTTGTATTTATTTAAGTAATCATTTAAATCTATTTTATTGATCTCTAAATCATCTCTCTCTTAATCTAAAAGTAATTATCGTTATTTTTAATCATTCTTGAAGATTTATTCCTCCTTTTCTAACATCTCTTGATCTTTTTAATTTAACTCAATCTCATCACTTGGTTTAAGCAATTCTTCCTTAATTTATTGAATCATATATTGAAAAGAACGAGATGAATTCAAAATACAATCTTATACAGAATCATTGAACATATTTAAGATAGTCACATCTTCAGAGTCAATCTTTTTATACAGAATTGGTAGAATCTAATCAATATTCTTATGATACATACTTTGATCAATCTCATTCTTACATTTATGATAGGATCTTTCGAAAATATAAGTATATCAAAGAACTGATATTGTTTGAATAGTTTTCTAGAAATGAATTGTGTGAATTCTTGAACGATATCGATAAATGTAATTCTATTATAGTAACTATCAGACTTAAAGTAGACTTCAAACAATTAGATAATCCAATCCTTTCTCTTCCTTAGATCTCCTAAATTACTTAAGTACTTTGCAATATTCTAACAGCATAGTTGTTTAGTTTTGGGAATCCCTTTACTTATAGTTGAAATCATAGTATTTAAAAATATGGCTGAATCAGCAAATATTTGTAAACATTCACAAAATCTCATTAATAAATCTATTTGTAAATCCCATTGATTCTTTAGTGTAAGACTATTCAACAATTCAAGGACTGGTTGACCAAATTGTGGTTGTTACTGACTACGCATAAGATTAACAAACTACTTGTTTCTAAAAAGAATTAACTATTGAATCTAATCTTACAATTAACAATTATAAGATTGTTATTTATTTTGATTTCATGAAGTTAATGAAAACTTAAACAAGAATATCTGTATTCTCAGACAATAGTACAACTTCATGAAAACTACTTAAGATTTATCTCTGAATTATTTCATTAGTATCATTGCAACAAAGCATGTATTATTCCTAGAAAAATTCAAATTTTTTTAGACTTAATGAAAGAATGGCTGGAAAGTTAAAAACAAAATTGGTTCTCACATCTAAATTCTTGCTTTTTGCATATGAAACATAAATATTGAGAAATAAAGATAATTAATTGAGATTTAGATAATCTTTAACCTATTTTTATATAATATTGATTACCAACATATATACTCTTCCACACATTTTAGACATGACAAGTTTACTTTCTTCACTTTAACTTTGCATTTGATCAATAAATAATTTGGTACATCTATTTTTGATTTCATCAATAGATAATTAATTGGCAATAGTAAAAAATAATCTCATTCCTGAACTCTTAACTACAACATCTATATCATAATAAAGTTCCATAATCTTTTCAAGTAAATAGCACTCAATAAGATCACTTGAGATAGATGAACAAACTTTGACTATTACATCTTCAGCCATAATTAATCTAATCTCTTTATCATGATCTGAACATAGATTCCTAGCTCTGTCTAATAATGGTCCTTTAATTTCATTCCCTAAAAGCTTATCTTAATTACATATAATACTTATGCGAGTGTTCCTATAAGCTTTGCAGCACTTTAACGAGATATTGTTGGCTATGAAGCATCAGTTAACAATAGTATTAATTGTTACGCAGGATTAAGGATGATATTGAGACTGATAACTCTAAGCAATGCATCCATCGTATGAATCCATTCATTCAATACAGGTAATGACCAAATTTTTAGAATTTGTGTTGTCAAATCATATATTTATAGTAACTCCGTTACTTCAAGTATATTCTCTTTTATCAATTTATTAAATGACTTGGCTGCAATTATTTGATTATCCTCTTCTTGTTGTTAAATTTCCTCTCTTCAATATAGAATATATCATACACAATGACTTTGAAAAGAATCTCGAATGCATATGGTTCTTTCAAAATTCTATGTAAGTTTTAGTATATCTAATTTAATACAATATATCTTACTGCCTTCTTTTGCAATTATTAACCCTTAGTCAATATCTGATATGATCTCTAACATTCACTCAAATCTTCTTCCAATGTCAATTTCTTGAGTTCATCTTCACTCTACTATAGAATGGAGTTTCATACTTTTGTGCTTGTCTTATACTCTTATTCAGGGAAAAACATGCAAATTTTAAATAATATTAAATTGTAAATATAAATCGATTGGATAAGAATATTGGCTAATTAATTACTTAAAGATATGAATTGAATTTGGGATTCACATTTTTTATCCAAATGTTTGAAACTATTTTTTATTATCTTCTATAATTCTATCTTATTTAATATGATTTATGTAAAACTAGTTTCCATTCAGAATATCGTTTTCTAGATTTTATAAGCCATCTCTGATAACAATAAATGTTGGTCTGGTATCATAATCACTAATCATCTAAAGGATCAACTTTGAAAATATAGTGGAATATCCCAAACCTAACAACATATCACACATTCTCCTCACCTACACTAAATCTATCTATTTCTTCTACCAATTGTAATATGCAGATGAAGCTTACCATATCATTAATCCTTACATTATTAAGCAGCCAATTCTAACAATATTAATCCTAAAGTAAAAACATCTCCTTTCACTCCACTTTTCTTAGAACTTGGAATCGATTATCTTAATTCTTCTAATTATTCAGGAGGTAATAAATGAAATTCATCTAATATAAATGCCTTATTGTATGCATCTGGATGATTAGGTAAGAAATCATGTTCCTTTTCATTCAAATTAATTCTTACTATTAATTTTATATTCTCTGAGTCATCTAAATATATTGTCTATGTTTTCAATTCTCCATGATATGCTCCCTTCTCTTCTAAAAAAGCACAAACACTTATGATTTGATAAGTTATCAACCATAATCTTGATTCATTGAACATAAATGATTAAGTAAAACTTATTCAATTTCAATAATACTTCTATTCTGCCTCTGAATTCAAAGTCATTTAATAATATTCACCTATCACTATTGCTTATGAAACTTCAGCACACATCAATGAATTACTATTTTCATTAACATGTAACAAATTGACTAAGTTACCATGTTTCCATTATTTTCTCTTCTCAAATCTCTTTTAATAATCATCTAGTTCTTATTTCGAAGTGGTCCCCAATTATATTTGAAATACTTTAATTCTCTTCCCTATTCATCATTTAATTTTACCTTGTTCTCCTTATATTCAAGTATTTTTATATTCCCTAACTATCGATGAGATATGTTTTAACAAAATGTAAATTTTTTCATTATTTAATCCTACTTCTCATTTTCTAATATATTTCCCATTTATAAATTATATAAATATAATCGACAAAGTCTGTTATATTTATTTTAAAAGAATAATAAATAAACTTAAAATTTCTTTGAATATAATATATTACATAATAAATATATTGAAGTTTATCTAAATTTTATTATCGATTTATAGAATGGCCTGATTACTAGAAAGTCTAATATCTTATATTGATACTGAATATTGATAACCTAATATCAATGTGACATGATTATTATTATAAATTCTTTTTTATATTTTTCCTCAAAAATAAATTTTAATATTTGACATTAATGTTGCATTTTAAGTAGATTTTTTAATAAATATGAAGATGTATTCTTTATAGTTGTATAAAGCAAAAATGGTTCAATAAATTTAACAATAAATACTACAATATAGTGATATATGTGATATATTTTATCAAAAATTTTTTTAAATGATAAATTTGAGTTGCCTTTTTTTTATGTAAATATTAGAAGCTGATGTATTCTATAAATTAAAAAAAGAATCATTATAATTTTAATTCAAATTCTTTAGATATTCTTCTCATAACAATCAACAAAGTTTGTTTTTTTTAAAAAGTCAAAATTTAATAGATTAACTAATTTTCTTTTTGGAATGAATTGAAATTTTTTTAATGAATAAATAGAGTATGATATAATATAGATAAGTATATAAGAAGTCAAATAGTGTAAAGTTTTAAGAATTTCTCCTCCTCTATTTCTCTAACTTCTTTTAATAGTTTTTTATATTTTTTCAAATATGATTTAATATTTATTTTATTATTCTACCTTAATCTTTTTTCAATTAATCTTATCATTTATTGAATGCTCTTTCTTATTTCTTCTACGCTTCTCATAATAATTTTATATTAAACAAAAAATCTTAATTATTTTTAATACTTAAATATTAAATCTAATTAATTAAAATTTATATTATAGAATAAAACATGTATTTCTAAGAAAATACTTAAAATTTAGAACTATCAAATTAAGAAATATTATTTTAATTATAAATAACTTGTAGGGTATGTAGAATTCATGAATTTTATGGTGCTCTACAAATAGGACAACTTGGAACTAAATCTTCTTGGAACTACTTAATAATTAAAAATACTTTTTTTTAAAACCAATTAGAAATACATTCCAAATGAAAGATATGAGTAGGATGACAAGATAGCTATTAAATGTTTCCAGTAGGTTCCAATTCTTCGAAACATATTTAACATTAAATTTGTTCTTATATGGAATTTATATTAGCATGTTATGGTAAAACTTCTAATCTTTAATTCAGTTAAGGTTCATTGTTTTCTAAGATTGACAAAACTGGTTATCCGTTTTAAAGCAGATTTAAGAATAAGGCTTCTTAATTATTTTCCATGATTTACGATTATCTTTAAACTATTTAAAATTATATTTATGAAACTCTTCTATGTAAGGCTTTCATTTTATAATATTATTTAATTCTTCTAGGCATTTCTATAATTATCCCTAATGTGACAAAGAAGAGTTCCCAAAAAGTTGTAAAACATAGTATAGACATTATAATGATATTTATTTCAGAATGAAAACTTTATTCAAAGAATAATTGAATCACTACCCCAAGTGAAAAAATAAAATAAAAGATATCTTTTGATTCACAACAGTTATTGTGAAAAGCTATCTTAATTCTAGTGTAAAACAATTAGGAATAGGATACATTTTAAAGACTCCCTAGAATTTAAATATAAATTACTCAGATTAATCATATTTTCCAAACTTAGATTCCAATTTTCATTAGTTCTTTCTGATTCATTAATTAAAAAGCACATAGAAAGAACATATTAAGTGTCTTTTGTAATTTTATATTGATTGATAAAGACAACTAACATCAAAAAATTTGCTATAATGAGTTCTGAAAGAAAAATGAGTTGATATAAGGTATTTTTTAATAGGACAAAGGTTACGCAACTAGAAACTAATCCAATAAGGGAAAGACATCCTAAAATTATATTCTAATTTCGAAAATCCTTGATTGAATGAGCAAAGCTTTTACTAATGATCATAAATAATTAATAAATTATATTTTAAAAAATTTATTTATAATATATAAGTTTTATTTTTCAAAAAGAAATTAACAATTCAATAATTTTATGAATAATTAGCTGAATAGTCATTTTGATAAAAATTTATTTCTAATAATAAATCAGATATAAATAAATTAAATAAAGCTGCTCAGATTATATTAATATAAAAAATGAATTAATTGGTATCAATTGATTCAACGTTGTAAGCTAATTTAGAACGTCTTAGTTATTTGATGGCTTAGAAGAAGGAGAAGAAACCTGACTTTAGAGATCAATTTCAAACTCATACAAATACTAAGAAAATATTCGTTAATTTGAGAGCATTTGTCAAATAACCCTAACCTTCTTCTCCTCCAGTTTAGAACTAACTTAAAGAATAAAAAATTGGATCATAAACAATTACTACATAGACTCAGACTCCAAAAACACCTACTTGTAGATAATAGTTTCTAAGACCTTAGTCATTAGCCTAACTAGAACCATGTATTAAAAGGCAAGAAATATCTGCAAGCAATATTATGAGTGAAAGAACAAATACTAAAGCATGTTATAAGAATTGGGTTGGTTTATCAGTAATTGAAAGAAATGATTTATTTTTAAAGAAAAAATAGGAAAAATTGAAAAAAATGAGAGAGGATAAAGATGAATAGGAAATCAGCAAATGTACTTTTACTCCTCATTTTTATCATTAAATTCATATTGAAAGACCCTCTTCATGTTTTCAAAATAAATCTTATTAAGATATTCACAAATTACGAAAGAACTAAAATGAAAAATTATATTGATCAACAATTTACACTTTTTATTAAATAAACATTTAAAATAAATTCATGTTTTTGTAAATAATAATACTATTCTAAATCAGTTATACTATATCGTTTATATTAAACTAATATTTTTATTTAATATGAAATTAATTTCAAGAGATCCATATCTTTTTTGAATAGTGTTCAGAAGAACTAACTTCTGATTATCTTTAAGGATTTTTAATACGTCCTTAATTTTATTTAAACTAAAATTTTATAATAGATTAAAACTTATCGTGATTATTTTAATTCAACTAAAGTTGTGAATGGTAAAAATTGCTTTAATCTTTCTGGTTTTACTTCTAGTTTAAATCTATTAATATCTTCCATATCTATAGCATAATAATCCATATATTCTTCAAATACATTAACACTATTTTATTATACAAGATCAATACTCATATTCTGTGTCAATCTTTGGTTTTATTTGGGCACCATTATAAAATTTTTACACTTCTTTTAAGACGATAGATAAATTATTATGAGTACTATAAATTTCAAAATCATACCCTTTTTCAAAATGATCAATTAAATAGTAATTTTATTAACTTTTATTTTACGTATTATGATTTTCTTAAATTTAATTTTCCTTTTCAACATGATATTCTGATATAATTCTTTCTACTTTTTATTTGATTCGTGAATCGCTTTATTCATCAGAACTTTAATTTTCAATAATTTTGCTATGACTTATACTACTACTTTAATAATTTAATGATGGTGTTGATGAATGAATTAATTATGAAAGAGATTTAGTAAGTTAATAAATATCATTTTACTTTTGATTTATCATTTAAACTTAACTCTATTAAGCTCGCATAACTTTGTACATTTCTCTTCTTCTATTTTTATCTTCTTTAAATTTTGATTTGATTTTAATAGGTTAAACAAAGCTTTTTTCATATTAAATACCCTTAGATTAAACTTCATCTAAATTACATTCTTCTAAAATAAATCCTGTCATTGGAATAATAGTTTATATACTAAGTGCTTCCTTTTTGATAAGAAATGAATGTTTAAGAGAATTAAAATGTATTCTATCTTTTCTTACATATTATTTCATAACTTATTTAATGCATCTATTCTTAGTTTTATTATAAACATAGAGATCAACAATAAAATGTAATTATGGACAATCTTTAACTACATGTCCAGGTAAATCACAAGCAAAACAATGTATTTATAATACTTAAAATTGATGTTTATTAACTTCTTCTTAGATTTAGTGAAATTTTTCAAAATCTTTAGGATATTTTTATAAAATTAATAAAAAGTCTTCCCTCTTGAGAACAAATAAATCACTAAAACCTTCACTCTTTGCAGATGCAGTTCTATTTACATTACCAAAGAAGTTGATTTCTCCAAAGATTTATTTATTTGTAAGTATAGCAACTACTTATCTAGTTTTAGGAAGTACAATATTAATTAATCCATCTTATATGAAATATAGATGATGTGAGTTTTTTGGATTATCTTCAATAATTATATATTCATCTGGTTATGCAGTTTATTCAAATAGAATTTTTGTAATATCTACTAAAAGTAGACGAGAAAAAGTCTTACAGAAATGTGTATATGTAGCTAGGATATTCCCATTAACATGAACTGTAAGTGATTTTTTCAACTCTTAAGATAGATTAACTGTTATTGCATCTAATTTAATTAGTCTACTTGAATCCCAAATATATTGTAAGTATTTTCTTACTCTTTATTGAAGATGTTTAGGTATTTTCACTTTTTGCATATAATTATTAATTTCAGCAATATTCTTTTTTTATTAATCTTTCTTTTAACTCATTTATTACATTGTATTTCCTATAGAATTCATAGTAAATGATAACACTCCACAAGCTACTAATAAAAAGAATATTCCACAAAATCTCTCTAAAGTTGTTTAAGGTGAAATATCTCCATAACCAACTGTAATCATTGTTGTTACAGCCCAATAAATTGATGTTACATATCTAACTTCTACAGGTTAATCATAAACACCAGCAACTACTAACCAATTATTATTTGGATCTTCATTCATTCCTACAAAATGGAATATACATCCTAACCAATGTGACCAAAATAATACAAAAAAACTTAATTTAAGAAAACTAGCAATTGTATTAATTATAGTATAAGTTTAAAGTTATTCTTCAATTTTATCAAAAATTACTTTTAATTTTGCTAATCTAAGTAATCTAATAATTTTAATAAATCTAAAGAATTTTAAGAGTCTCAAAATTTATGCACTTTATTATAATGTTTTAGCTTTTTCAGCATTTTTGGTACCTAATTCAGTATCTTCGGAATCAGTAACTAGTATAGATTCTATAATCTAATAATGATTGTTTCTTTTAATACCATATCATACGGGAATGATGCAATCATGTCTAACCAGAACCATAGTTTCATATACTGTCTAAATATTATTGGATGCTGATAATTAATATTTCCTTTTATCCAGACAGCCGTATTAAATGTAACTAAGATATCAATCAGAAAAATAATAGTAATGAATGTACCTAGTTCATTACTTATTTCAAATTCAAAGCTTATTCTAAATGGAATTGATAAAATTTCATAGAATATTAGTAACATACACAAAAAATCCCAGATAATTTTAAGTGTACCATCTGGTGAAAATACAATAGATTCTAAGAATTTTGGTTTATTTTATGAATTTGTTCTTTGTTAAGTTTGATTACTATTCTTTATAGATGAATGTGCAATAGTGAGAGTTGTTTCCTTAGATTTTTCTTTCTTCTCAACATAATTATCATTATCAAAAGGAGTCTTAAAATCCTAAATTCTCTATTCATTTCTGGAATGATGTAATAACTTATTGATAGTAATGAAATGCAATTACTTTGTCATTCAAAATATATTATTCAGTAGGAGACAAACATAGATAAGCTTTACGATCTGATATAGACTTGCTTATATATTCTTATCGTTTTCTTTTTCTTTCAGTGTGTTTATTAAAGTGTTGTTTTTCTAAAATGTTAGTCTTTAGAAAATTTTAACCAATAATTGACATTAATTAAATATGAGAACTACTCGAATTGCTCAAACTAAGCAATAAGGTAATTAAAATAAATTGACTTCAATCAAAAACACTCTAAAGTTTCAATTCGAAGATGAAAATGATAAAAATAATGATCGTACAACAAGTCCTTCAATAACTATTAAAGATTTATGTTAAGAAGATAAAGCTAAAATAGGAGATCTAATTAAAAGATTAGCATAAGAATAAGAAGAAAATAAAAAGCTTTAAGACTAAATCAAATAAAAAGAAGTAGAATGTAAAAAATAAGTAACTAAATACAAATAACTTTCTGAATCTGCAAAAAAAGAGTAGAAATAAACAGAAGACAAATTCAAAGAATCATTGGGAGTGATTAAGAAATTACAATAATAAGAATAACTAATTTAAGAGTAAATGCTTTTAACAAGAGTAAATAAATTTGATTCATTCACTCAATATGATATAGAAAATAAAGAAAACAATTCTAAAGTTTCTTAACCTCCTCCATTACCTCCTCCCAAATAATAAAAAAGCGAGATTTTATAATTAAAGGCAGAGATAGAAGAATTTACAAACAGTTTGAAATAGTTATAGTTTGAATCAAACAGTTAAGAAAGATAAGAAATCTCTCCATTAAGAAAAGTACTGAGACCAGAAACTAAATAAGAAAAATAAACAGTGATTCCAAGACATTATACACCTGTAAATGTGCCCAAAAATTAATAAAAAAAGCATATTGAAGTCTAAACTATTTATCAAGGAAATATTATAAATACTCATCAAAATTCAGCAGATAAACAAATTTAAACAGAAACAGAAAGTCTTGCAATGAATTCTCATTCATCTAATTTTTATAAAAAAGAATCAGATTAAATTAAACCTTAAGAAACTATTAAAACACCAGCAACCTAGATAAGCAATTAAACAACCATTAGATTCTGTGAAGAATTTAAAGCTTTAGAGAATAAACTTAAATAAAATTAGAACCAATATTATAATTGTAATCAAGATATTTCGATATAATCTGATAGTTTTCAATAAAACTAAAAATTTCAAAATGAATCATCAGATGATGAAGAAGAATATACTATTGCTTAAGAGTTACTAAAACGTAAAAATCAAAGAATATCATAACAATATTAAAAAAGATCATCAGGTTTATAATAATAATAATAATAATAATAATTATAATAATAATAATAATAATAATAATAATAATAATAATAATAATAATAATAATAGATTTCTGAAGTTAGTATGCAAAAATAATAATAATTTCATTAAAATAATAGTTATTATTAATAATAAATATAGAATCCTTATAATCAATAATAACAATAAGCTTCATCAGTTTAATATTAGAATTTAGTGTAATCAAATTATTTTAAAACAAATACTTTAAGTTTTAATTTAACTAATCAAGAATATACACCATAATAATCAGTTCAAAAATCTGCTGAATAATTTGGATCGAGTGTTATGCAGACACCTCAATAGAGAGAGATGATTTCTCAATAGTTATAATTTTCTTAGTAAGAAGAAGAAATAGATTCTGTCATAACTAGTTTAAATGGAAGATCTTTCAATAAACCTAATGTCTTATAATAAGAACAATATCCAATGATTGAGCAATAGTAAGAGTCTTATTCTTCAGAGTCTTCAATACCTAGAGAAGAGTATTAGAAATTAATTGATAAGTATATGAAGGATAATTAAGATTCAGAAGATGATTGATAATAAAATAATAAAAACTATATAACAACCATTAATTTATATTAAAAATTTCTAATGAGTCGAAGATAAAATGTTAATGATGATAATTTAAGTTGGATACTTAAATATCCAAATGAATTTTCATAAGAGGATATTGAATCTCAACATATGCATGTACTTAAGTAAGAACAATTTGGGTAATTAAAAGAATCAGATGAGATTTTGAATGCATAACTTTATACTTTTTGGAATGGAACTATGGAATGTAGTAAATTTATATTAATGCCAAATTTACTTATTAAGGTAACAATTTAAAATGGCTTGTTATAAATACCATAATCATAATTTAATTAAGGAGGTGCAACATATTATTTATCCTTATCTGAGTGTACAATTACATAGAAAATGATTCAACATAGATCATAATAAGCATTTGGCATGCTTTTAACTAATTCAATAGGTACAACCTATGTTTTCTTTTCTAATTTTGTTACTTTTAGAACTTGGTATAAATAAATGAAACAATTTTGTAAACTCACAGGTTTTCTTGATAAATATAAATTGGGAGATAAATTGCTTCCTGGTTTTTATACATGTACAAAGAAGAAAAAGAAAACACAATATACAGTTTAGATTTATAAAAGTGATGATTTTGAACAATGTTAAGAATTGGAAGATGCTGTCTATAATGAAATATAAATATTGAGAAGTATCAAACATTAATCTTTATTGGAATTAAAGAGAGTTTATGAAAACAATAAGTATCTTTTTATTGTATATGAATATTATAAAGGGGAAACTCTCTTTAATTTATTAAATTCAAATCTCTAATTACATGAAGTTCAAATAGCCTCTGTATTTATTTAAATAATTATAGATAATTTATTAAATATTATAAGTAGTGAAATTTCTCAATTAACATCAATTTTATCATGGAAGTATAAATCCTTAGAATGTCCTTATCAACACTCAGCATTAAATGTTATAAATTACATTAATAAATTTATCATTCAAAGAATATAAGGTAAATGATAAATTAGATTGGATTTTGAATAGAGCAGTAGAATCTTTCTTAGCTCCAGAAATATTTGAAGGTATTGCACCAAATATATCAACTGATATTTATGCATTAGGATGTGTATTATATTTTATGACATATTATGATTCAAAAAAATATGAAGTAAATTTTATAATTTATAAATTAGATTAAAAATGAAGATAAGGATTTTTATAATGTTATGGATAATTTTGAAATTCAAAAAAATAGAATTGATGAAAGTGAATAATAATTAAAAATAGGGTTCTAATAAAATTAATCAAAAAGTAAGGTTAGTTCTTCATAATTGGATCTCTTACGTAAAATGTTAGATACTGATGCAAGTAAGTATTTTATAATATGAGATAAAAGATTGACAATAAAAGAAGCTACTAAACATCATTGGTTTGTGAATGTTAAAAGCAAGATTAAATCTTTAAAAGTTGAAAGAAAAAGAAAAAAACCACTTCCTAGTTTAAGAACTATTATTGAATTAAGAGAAATGAGTGAAATGGATGTAAGAATGACAATTATTTAACAATAATAAAGTGGATTAAATGCTTTACATAATATGAGTTCTAAATTATAATCAACTCCTTCAAATACAAAACGTACTTTAATTTATACACAATAACCCTCTAAATTAAGTTAGTTTGTAGCAAAGAATGAATTTGATGATGATTATGAAAGTAACAATTTCATTTTTATATTTTAGTCCCTGATGAAGATCTATTTTTGGAAGTACCAGTCATTAATCGTAAAAGAGAACCAAAAAAACGACCATCCAACATTAAATTGCTCTGAAAAATGTTAAAAACTATTCAAATATTAATTAAAAATTATATTTATTCTTCAAGATTCAATAAATCATTTTTTTGGTTTTTAAGGAGTTGGCTCATCTATTTCATCACATTTGTATAATTGAATGTTTGATGCAGGAGTACAAGGACTTCTTAATATACTGTTTGAAAATCTACCTTTGTTTTTAGATTAATCCTTTTATATTAAACAATTAAATTACATTACAATTATCTAAATACTATTATAATTGGTTATCAATATATGATTTCGATAAAGCTGGAATTAATTTTGGTATGAATGGAGATTAAGTATATTTAATTTATTAACATTGTAGAGGAGATATATTTGTTTTATTATCTTTTTCTAAATCTACTTCTGTTAATCTTTAACAAACTACGGCTTTTGAATTAATTAAAGGTGGTGGTAAATTTTTTAAAATTTCAATCTACTCTTTAGTAAATAAGATTTTCTTCAAAAGATCAATCTCTTATAATCTTTTCAAAATGGTTACAATATCTAAATTTTTTATTATTTTTTTTTTGGCCTTCAAAAATTATTAATTTTTCTCCTTCTATAATCCAAATATAATTAAAAATGTATCAATAAATGAATTATTAAGCTTTTAATTCTTACGATTATTTAAAATTTCATTCTGTTTATTCTCGATATTCATAGGTGACTAAAATTCTCTTTCTGTCTATATTACTTAAGTTTTTGTTTAAGTTTATACCTCTTTCTCTAATTAATCAAATCGAAAGAGAGAATTAGCTATTTCTAACTTCATCAAATTTTCAATTATTGGTTTTGAAATAATGGCAACAAACATTATAAATATTTACAATATTCCTCCTAATTTTGCTAAAATAGTTTATAATTTAATATATGTTCTTAAGTTATTTGTCTACTTAAAATCTAATCTAACAATATGAAGAACTAAATATTATTAATTATAAAAGTCTGATATTTCTCTCCATTCTGTTTATTAAATATTACGTTAAATATTTTCTTCTTCCCAAATCAATCCCTCATCTGTTTTAGTTTGTATTATTCTATACTATTATACAATCGTTTTTGATGTGCTTGATGAAAACCCAGTAAATTCATTAGTTATTATCTATTTATATGGTTATCCAGGATGATCAAGTTATGATAAATAATCCGTTTTATACACATTATAATGACCAGCTTATAAGACATCATCTATTTCTTCTTAAGGAGCACAGTTTTACTAATTTGTGGTATTTTTGCAAGTTGTAAATTGTATATACAAATATTTATATTCTAAAGCATTGAATTAACCCTTTAAAACCTAAAAATTATAAAATATTTTATACTGGGGGATTCATCTTTAAATAATCTCTATTAATACATTAAACTCCTCCAAATCTTATTGTCTTAAAATATTCTTTTTATAAATCTGTAGTAAAATGAGACATATTACAAGGCTCTATTGGCATTTCAACACATCTTAATTATAAATTTTTATACTTCAATGTCACTGTTAAATTTCCTGTTATCTAATCTCTAATCCTTTCTCTAGTGCACTGACTAACGTTTAAGTTAAAGTATTTATTTATTCCTATTAATGGTTAAGAAAAGCGGTTAGCAATCGATATCGCTAGTGTGAAATTCTGATCGTTAAGATAATATGACTATGTTATTAATTACAAATTTTACATCTGTTTCAATCACTTATACTTCTGTTTAATATATTGAAGGCTTTGATTTAGAAATCATCGATGTGATTTCTATTATCAAATAGTAGGCACTTAAAGTTCCTATCAAAAGGGACAATAAAAATCCCAATTTTGATGTGTATTTACTTCTATTAAGAACTGTAAAACTAGGAAGTTGACCAAATATGTCTAACTGATACGCAAATTCATTTTTCAATTTTAAGAAAGCTTTAGAAATGTTTTCAAATATCTTTGGCATAATTAAATTAAATATCAATATTTTTAAGAATTATTAAGGCTAAAAGATGATAGAAAAAGGATATTATTGTTTCCTAATTTTGTTTTCTCTCTTTACTAGTTAAATATATCAAATAATCCAGTTTAAAAATTAATCAATGGTTTACATTTCCTAAAATTATAATTAATAAAATATTATAAATGATAGTCTTAAGTGTTTATTAAAATAAATTACATAAAAAATAATATTCTGTTTATTTTTAACTCAAGATTCTCCAAATTAGTCATATCTACATAATAAGCTTTTGTGGATGATTTTTCTAAAAATTTTAAAAACTTAAAAATCTACTTTTTTTTGAAGATAAATTATAGTGATAAATAAGATGAAATTTCTAACAATCATGCAATCTTATTTTTAAGTATTAAAATCAACAAATTTGAAATCTAAGATTAAGAGAGAAATTATTAGATTTATTATAAGCATCTAATAATTTGTGATAAGATAATGTGTATAAACTTAGGAACTTAGTTGAAAAACGATACATTATTACACACAAAAGTACTCTTTATAAATTCAATCTCTAATTTCTTTATTCTCTATTTTTAATTTTATTTAAAAGGATAAAGAAGATAAATATATAGATTTATCCTATACTTTAAAATATTAATTTATAGAAGCTTTTATTGTATTCTGATGTTTATAAAAATTTTGATATCTAATATAGAATATTTAGCTATTTTCCCAAGCTAAACTGTAATTATATCTCTTTTTTTAAATTCATTTAATTATGCCCTTACAAAATTATAATAACAAAATTATCTTAATTAAAGAATTCAATATATTCTGAGTTAAAAAATACAATTAAAAGTAAAACGAAATTCAAAATTTGATAATCATGCAATCTTTTCTTTTTTGGTCAAAAAAATCTTCCAAATATTTTGCAATTCCATAAAATTCTCAAATGATAACCAAAAATATTTAAACTTTATTATAGAATAGCTCCTTCATTCAAATGTTTAAGACTTCTTATGTTTACATTGATTAGTCATGATTAAAAAGGAGTTAAATTATTTTTTAAATTATTAAAATTAATATAAAATTAACTATGATTTGGTTTGGTAGTAAGATCTAGTTAGATTAATTATGGGGATTAATTTGAATATGATAATATATATTGAGATTAATTAAATTTTAAGTTCTCATATAATTCTATAGTTTTATAATAAAAAAAATTCTTAAAATGGCATTATATATATAATCTACTTTAAAAATTTTATATAATAATTCTTTACCAAAAACAAAATAAATGTATAGAGATTAGATTTTATGGAAATATTTTGAATTAATCAAATAATTTAGTTTGTTAATTTGGATCATAATGAGATACAAAAAATTAAGATGAATCATATTTATTTAGTAAAATAATTTTTTTATTTGATTAATAAATTAAAACTAGGAAATATGGAGAATACAAATTATTTAAAAAGAAGGTTTAGAAGTAGTGGATCATTAGATATGAGAGATACAATGTCTAGTTCTTAAGGGTTTTTTAGTACTAATAAACTATTTGTAAACTAATAAGGATTAAGTTCCAACATTTCTTCATCAACTTTAAGACATACAGCTGTCTAATATTCGTTTCCTAGAGCTCATAGATTTAATTCTTAATCAGAATATAATGTTTCACTTTTAGAACTTCCAAGTTAATTAGGCAATAAAACAACTTCATAAGGATTTGGGGGAAGAATAGAAAACTTTTAATGGACATGGTAAGAAACAAATGCAAAAGAAATGCCAAGTCCAGACAGATATGAAGTAAGAGAAATTCCAGGAAAAGATAAATTAAAAAGGTCTTTCGGAGGACCTTGGGAATTATACTCAAAAACATACATACCATATAATAAGCACTAAGCTCCATAAATTGCTAAATTTTTACCTGGTAATAATTCAAACTAAAAAAAAGGCCCTGGAGAATATAAAGTTAGAAAAGATTTGGGTTAGCACAGATACAAATTTTTATTGAAAGGGAAGGGGAAAATGATGAATGATAATCCAGAAAATGGAGTTCCAGGTCCTGAGGCTTATTCTCCAACTACAAAACTTACCTCACCATCTCGATTCAAAGTAAAAAGTCAAATTTAATTATTAGGATATCACATAAGGGATAGGTGAAAAAAAAGATCCCTTTCGATCAACAAGTACAACACCTGGTCCTGGTAAATATGAACTACCATCGGCGTTCTCGAAAAAACTTAGGGTAAGAGGAGGAGATAAACGAGCCTTTATATGATAATTAATAATAATCAACTATTAAATTTTAATAGATAATATTAATAACATAGATTAAATCTAATTTGTCTTTAAATCAATTTAGATTTCCTTTCAAATTTCATTTTTAATTTATTTCAATAGAATAGCAATTAAGAAAGAAGATTCTAAAATATTCAAAGAGAGTTCTTGATTATTTCTTAAAATTATGGCATTAAACTAAATATCATCTTTATAATTTACAAATATGCTTTTATTTTACTAGTGGATATAACCATCAAAATAATTATATCAAAGTCATTTATTCAATTAAAATAATTTATAATAGGTAATTCTATTTCTAATAATCAGATATATTATGTAAATTATGTAAAATTGTGAATATTTTCTATCTTTCAAAATAAGAAAATTAATTCTTTTATTCAAATAATTAAATAGATAATTAACAAAAATTAAAAAAAAAGATGGAAAGTCTTTTAATTCATTAGTTAAAATATATTAAATTTGTTAAGCTATATTTATAAATATCTAAGCTTGCAAAAACTAACAGTTAAGTTTTTCATAATTAATAATTTCTTCTTAGTTTTTTTTTTCACTAATTGAAAGAAATTATTCAAAGTTTAGCATATAATTGTTTAAGTAAATTTATTTGGGATATTAAATTAACGAATTAATTCTTGTATTAACAAAATGAATTATGGTACATTTTAGTAAACTAATGTTGGTAGAAGAAGATAATAAAAATATTAAAAAGAATGAAGAAAGAGAATATATATTTGATGGTTTGAATAATTGATTAAGAATCTAAAACATCACATATAATAAATAATTTATTCAATTTCAATCTTATATTATATAATATTTTTTAATCCGTTTTGATGATAAAGTACTTACTTTTAGTATGTTTGATCACAACACCTTTTGCCTAAACACCAGAGGCGGTAGTAACTCATTATGATTTGGATGGCAATTTGATTTAGGAAGATAGCTCCTTACAAGGATCTGATGACATTGATAGCATGAATTCAATGAGCATGAATTAATAAGATTTTGATTCAGGTAGCATAGATACAATTGGAACTGACAGCATGGATTATTCTACCCCAGAAATATAATCTAATGAAAGTAGCAATATAGAATCATCAATGAATTAAGAATAAAATATGACTGATAGCATGAATATGGACTCTTAATAAATGAATTCAGAGGATTCAATGAATATAAACAATAATGTTGAGAATTCTATGCCTGAGTTAGATTCTATGTATAGCATTAATGATCCTAATGATATTAGTGCTTAAGAACCAGAACAATAAATTACTTAAGATGCAAATGTTATTGAAAGCAATGAGTTTGTTAATTAAATAGAAAACAATAATTTGATTGCCGAATCAAATTAAATAAGTAATGTAGATCCAAACAATATTGAAACATCAAATGATAATTAAATTGATGTTTAAAATATTTTAGAATCAAATATAGGATTTACTGACAGTAATATCTCAAATACTTACAATTAAAATGAAGTTGATCCAAATATGGCATTTGATGTTCTTACAAACACAGAAACTTTATAATCAACTTCAGAAATAGAAAATGGATTTGTATAAAGTGGAATTAGTGTAGAAAAAACTTAAAGTAAAAAGACTCCAGTTGTTTAGAATGAGGAAGGTGATCCTGTTGAAGGTTAAGGAGGTTCAGGAGAAGGTTAACCTGGGTAAACAGGTGGTTAGACTGATGATTAAACAAATGATTAACATGAACGTGAACATCAAGAAGAAAATTAAGTTGAACATTAAGGAGAAAATTAAGGTGAACATCAGGAAGAAAATTAAGGTGAACATCAAGAAGAAAATTAAGGTGAACATCAAGAAGAAAATTAAGGTGAACATCAAGAAGAAAATTAAGGTGAACATCAAGAAGAAAATTAAGGTGAACATCAAGAAGAAAATTAAGGTGAACATCAAGAAGAAAATTAAGGTGAACATCAAGAAGAAAATTAAGGTGAACATCAAGAAGAAAATTAAGGTGAACATCAAGAAGAAAATTAAGGTGAACATCAAGAAGAAAATTAAGGTGAACATCAAGAAGAAAATTAAGGTGAACATCAAGAAGAAAATTAAGGTGAACATCAAGAAGAAAATTAAGGTGAACATCAAGAAGAAAATTAAGGTGAACATCAAGAAGAAAATTAAGGTGAACATCAAGAAGAAAATTAAGGTGAACATCAAGAAGAAAATTAAGGTGAACATCAAGAAGAAAATTAAGGTGAACATCAAGAAGAAAATTAAGGTGAACATCAAGAAGAAAATTAAGGTGAACATCAAGAAGAAAATTAAGGTGAACATCAAGAAGAAAATTAAGGTGAACATCAAGAAGAAAATTAAGGTGAACATCAAGAAGAAAATTAAGGTGAACATCAAGAAGAAAATTAAGGTGAACATCAAGAAGAAAATTAAGGTGAACATCAAGAAGAAAATTAAGGTGAACATCAAGAAGAAAATTAAGGTGAACATCAAGAAGAAAATTAAGGCGAACATCAAGAAGAAAATTAAGTTGAACATTAAGAAGAAAATTAAGGCGAACATCAAGAAGAAAATTAAGGCGAACATCAAGAAGAAAATTAAGAAGGTTAATAAAACGAGCTTAAAGCATCAGGATCTTCAAATAACAAATAATTAGTTTAAGGAAACTGTATTATTATATATTCATAATGCAATTTTAAGGGAGAAGCTTTAGAAGCTTGTAACAGTCTTAGTGAAATTGAGTATTCTTTTTCTTTATTTTAGGGAATTCAAAGCTTAAATTAGATCAATTTATATTCCAGAAGGCTTAGGTTTGACAGTCTATGATGGTGAGAACTATACTGGAAATATGCATAAATTCAAAACATCTTAAGAGTGTTTGACCACTCCTTTGTCATTTGCACAATTAGCCAATTAAGGCAATTAATTGAAAGGACAAAATTTGAGGTCTAGATAATGAAATCATTATACCCATAATAATATTAATCTGGATTATTTTTTAATTGTTTCAATTATAATCGTAAATCTAATTTTTATAATAGATTCATTAGAAATAATTCTTTTATCTTACAATTAAAATATCTTATCATTTAAATCAGAACTATAAAGAAATATTCTACACCCTTTAATGAAAAATTTTAATTATTAATTATAACATCGTTTAAATTTAAAATAAGAAGAGGGAAATATGATGGAGGAAAACCGTCAGATATGAAATTTTCCAGCCATCCTATATTCATAAAAAGGATCAAAATCAACATCCAAAGGCTTTTCACATTAAGATGAATAAAGCGAGTAACAATTAAAGAGGTGTCAAGATTTTTATTGATTGTTAAGTGCTTATTAAATAAGTATTAGATTTTAATATAATGTGCTTGAGTTTTAATTAATTTGATATTGAATAAGGATTATTTCTTCTGTTGATTAACTTATATCTTATAGGCAGATATCAAAATACAAAATTCAATTCAAAAAATTATTTTTTTTCAATCTACCTTAATAATTTAAATTAAAAAATTTGGATTACTTCAAGAGTTATATTTTGAATTTAAAAAAAAGTTCTATTTGCTTTTAGAGAATATAAATTTATTTAGGTCGATTAATTCATAAATATTTCTTAATGTAATTCATCATAACTATATCATATGTATAATTTAAATAATTCAATGAAAAAAGGTATTCTTTGAATCTCTTTAATGCTCCAAAAAGAGCTAAATAGTTTTCAAGAACATATAAAAGAAGCAAATTCAATATATTTGTATCAGGTTTTCAGAGTTTATTAATCATTTATCAAAATAATTACATTTTGAAATACTTATCTTTTATTATAATTTAATTAAGGAATTGTAACAACTTCATAATTAAAGAGTAGATTCATTTTTTTTAATTAAAGCAAAGCCTTAATGTTGATTAACTGACATAGTGAAGAGAATTGACAGTTGTGGCGGTTTTTCAGGATTTTTTTGAGAGTAAATATATTAATATAAAATTTTAAAGGCCTGGTTTCCATGTATATTTCACTGTTGTGAAAATTCATTCTTTGCAGTTCAACAAAGCTCTGTCGGTTTAGTGGAAAAATTTGGAAAATATCATAGGAGTCTGCCACCAGGATTAAATCAAATCAATCCATGCACAGTATTTTATTAATTGAATTTAAGGATAAGTTTATAAGTATGATATTTAGATAGATCTATAATATTAATGAAAGATAACATATAAGTTAACATTGACACATTTATGTATTTTAGAATAATTTGGGATTTAATTTAATTAAAATTCTTTTGGTTAAACAGATCCTGTAAGGGCTACGTATAGAGTTTCAAGATGACACAATCTGTTAAAGATATGAATATGTTGCCTTAAGATAAGTTTGTGGCTAACATCAGCTTTAGGATTTATTAGAACGTAGAGACATGGTTTAGGATGCAATGGAAGCTTATTTAGATAATATGTAGTCAATAAGTAAACAAAATCTATAGCCTTTAGTAATCAAAGTTTGTTTTTTTAGAGAACGAAACATTTGATAGATGAGTTAATTTTGCCTTGACAAAAAATAAAGAAAAAATGTATCTATATAAGACAAGTTAAAAAAATAAATAATATCAATCAAATATCTAAATACAGAAAATCATGAGATATCAAAAATTTTAATATTTTTTTGAGAGTGCAACAGGTAATGAAGGTTCAGGACTTAATCAAACATCAAAATTTAGTAAATAAATTAAAAAAAGTTGGATTACCTCCATTTTTATAAGTTCAGATAAATTTTAATGGTTAATTGGTTTATTTCTACTTTAACAATAACCAAACAAATTATATGAAATTCTTCAGTTTGAATTTTTATTTTAATCAAAGAGATTGTATTTTTTGTTAAAAATTTTTACCTAATGGATTTGATTATATTTTTAATATATTAAAATTTTAATTAAAAAAAGAGAGATTGTAATTTTTTAATCAAAGAAAATGAATTATTAAATTTATTAGAGTTTAATTATAAATGGTTTTAATAAAATAATAATTATATATTGATTAAATAGAAGATCCTTATCGCTGTATGAGAAAGTATGATAATAAATAAAATATTAATATGAGAATGGAATGTGTATGATATAAAGAGTAAATACTTATATAATAAATAATTAATCAATTAACCAAGATACCTGGTTTAATGAATAGAATCATCACAACCACAACAGTGATAAATAGTCCAGCAAATATTTTAACATAGAGCATAAAATTACCCATACCAAAACCTGCTCCCTTAAAAAAATCTGCTAATCCTCTTCCTTCAGTTGGTTTAACTAAATATGGATCTTCATTAGGTTCATCTTATCCATCTCCAACAGGTTAACCATCTGCTGATTGTTTAGTAAGTATTTTCATTTAGATAAGTACTTAACCTCTATTTTATCCAGGATAATTAGGATGAGATAATTTAATTTTGGTAGGAGGCATTTCATATTTACCATCTCTTGAAAGTCTTTTAATAATTCTAGATATAAAAAAATAATTATTTACGGTTTTAAAGACATAGTTGCTTCTCCAAGGGATTCATTTGAACCAAAAGGTGAAAAATCATAAACAGTCATTTTTAATCTAGGAAATGGACAAGGTATAACAAGAGGAAATCTCATACGATAAGAAAAAGAGCCATCGCCATTGTCACTGCCATTATGTACATCAGTTTCTTTAGCTACTTCAGCATCTTTTCCAGTAGCAGAAGCATCCATAGCAACAGTGACCATAATGTCAACAACCTTTTTAGTGGCAACTTTAGGAATTTCAAAAGTTTCCCAAATAATTAATCTTACCTCATATTCTTATGGTAATGGTGCTTACAATGGAGCAGGTTCAATATCTCTTGCTATATCTATTGGTAATACTTCTAAAAACATTTCTACAGTTCCTTAAGAAGCTTATTATCTACCATCAATCTTTAAATCTTTATATTCTACAGGAACTTTAAATTTTTTATCAAAATTTTCAATTCTTTACTATAAATCAGTAATTTATCCTGAAAGATATCCTTTACGTCTTTCAGCATTTAAACTATCATCATATTTTAAAGCTTCTTTCTCAGTTTCAAATCTTTCTTTAAATACAGTATAAGCAATTCTTTATTTTAACTTTTCCTCACCAACTACTCTATCTTCAATATCAATTTAAATACTACCAATAACTGAATCAAACATTCCTTTACTTTTTATATGTAGTTTCATTTTCCAATCAGTGGGCAATTCTGCATCTAATTCATACATCCTAAAGAAATTAGGACTTAAAGTATTTTCAATAGGTCTATCCTAATCAGTAATATGTTTTATTAAATCTTAATTATCATGTCCACTTTCTCCTATAAAGATTTCTGGATATGAATCAGCTGAACATACAGCTTAAAGACCAGCCATTTTATGATAAGCATCTATATCTTATTTTTAAGCTGCTAAATTAAGACATCTTAAAATATATAATCGAACTTTTAATCTATAAGGTTAATTAAAAAATTATAGAAACCCTTCATCAAATATATTAAATGAATAATCATCTGGTTTATCAGGTACATCCCTAACAGATGATTTTTTTTTTGAGGTTTTAGAGACTTTAGATTTTTTTGATTATTTTTAATTATCACCTACAGTGCCACCATGATCTGATATTCTAATATCTCCTTTAATTACAGCATCTGTTGGATTACCTATCAATCCATATTTAGTTGAGGATAATCTATATAAAGCAAATCTTCTAAATGGGATTTTAGGAGCCAGTTTTTCTTCATATGGGCCTTTTAATACTTCTCTACCATAATCATATCCTTCATCCTCATCTACTTCATTTGTTCCTTTAAAGTAATTTGTTTCTTTTATTTCAACTCCTTTTAATTTCTCTACTTCTCTTTTAATTAATAATTTCAACTAATCAAATTTCTTATACTTTGTTTTATAAGTTTTTATCATTCCTAATAATTTCTTTTCCTTTTCTTTATTTTCCTTTCTCTTCTACATTATATCTTCCGTTTCTAAAGTCAAATGAGTCATCTCAGTAACTTCTACATTCTGTATTCCTTTATTTTTTAGAGTAGACTTAATTTTCAAATCTGGTCTTTCTGTCATTACATTTTACTTAGATAATGTTGAAAATTTTGATGATTTACCTGATTAATTACTCTATTTTTATTAACTTACTTTCTCAGGAGCAATACTTTATTTTATTGTTTCTTTTGGTAAAGTTTCTTTTGGCATCACTGTATCTTTTTAATCCAATTATTTTTATGATGTAACATCATTATTTACTATTACATTTTCATTATCTTCCTACAAGTCTTCGTTTTTACCTGCATCTAATTTAATATCATCAAAATTTTTTCCTTATTCAAAGAAAGCTCTAGCCTCATCTATCAAAAGTTAATCCTTAGTCTATGCAACTTCTATCAATGGTATTGAACAAATGTACTTTTCACTTTTATTTTATGAATCAAATAATTGAATTTCTAATTATGGATAAAATTTTATATCTTCTGGCAAAAAAACTTTTAGATTTATCAATGTTAAAAAAACTGGATCTTATATTCCTCCTCCAAACCAACTCTTGTTATTTGCTAATAGATCTAATTAAGCCTAAATTATAGAACGTGATTCTGAATTATAATAAGTAGGATTCTATATACTGGGATCAACCATATTAAATGGGACTGGTACTTAAACCTATAATTTTGGATCTTTCATTTTCTATTTTAAGTTTCTCACTCCAAACACAGGAAATTAAGCCCATTTTTAAGTAAATTGTTCTTAAGGAATTATTGGAGTTGGTACCTCAGAGTAATTTTCTTTATTCTTCCCTAATTCCTTTAATCTAAATGCTGCTAATATTCTACCTGCAGATTAACCTTAATTAACTATATGATGAAATGTAAATACTGGTTCACTATCATATTTACAAACAAGCGCTGGTATACAAATATCTCCAATATGATTATTACTAAACCAAGATGTTGATTTCTTTAAATTTGTAAAAGTTATTATTATATTACTAGCGAATTCAAGGTTTTAATCTATTTTCACAACTTTTTCAAACGCTTTATTCCAGATGGGATTCTTTCCTGGTTAAGGCTTATCTAATTCTAAATATTAACCACCTATTTTCATCACAAAATTAGCCTAAACTTCTTCTGAATATAGATCTGGACATAAATCATACCCAGCATAAAATTATGCATATAAATGATAATAAACCTACTAATCTCTTTTGACAATTATTTTTGGAATCTTAAATACAGTACTCTCATTTCTAAATATTATATTAACTAAAAAAAAACTATGAGGAATGTCATTATTATCTGTTTATTTTACACTTTTGAAAGTGTACCATTTAGGTCTATTTATTTCTAAATCCTTATCTGAATATGGTATTCTCAAATAAGCAACTCTTTTACCCTTTTCATTATGTAAGGATACAATCAAATCTGGAATTTATTGAGGATCTGCAGGTAAATCTAACTTCTCATCTTTTGTTTAAATTTGTTTTCCCCATGTATAAGTAATACCTTAGATTTCTTTATTTTCTGTCTAAGGTTTTTATTTGAATTTGCTTTTCTTCTCTGTCTTAATATACGCTTCATTTGATTTAAAGACCAATCCACCAACTTTGAATTTCACTATAATCTTCTCTCCACAATCTTTAGCTTCTTGAATTTCATAAGTATCAAATCTTAATAAATATTTATCAATAGGAGGTTCTCTTTGAGTTGTTAAAGGTACAACTAATAATTCAGGTTTTTCACTTTAAGTGAGATTTATTGACATTAATACTCTACCCATAAAGTCTGTTCCAATAATATTTTTTTTATAACCAAGAAAGGCTTATTAAAATCCTCCAGGTCTTTCATCATAAGGAATACCATATAAATTAAACCACCTAAATGGCATAGTTCCTCCTTTACTTTACAAGAAATTGATATTAAAATAATCATTTTCAGTTGGGACCTCTGGAATCATTGCAATAAAAGTATCTGTAGCCATAGTTCTTCTATCCCAAACTCTAACTACTATTTTATCATTAAAAAAAGGGAAGTGTAAAGGAAACATCAATCGAGATAAATATTAAGGTTTTTATTAGTTTTTCATAACAGATGTTATTTATGCTGTTCCTCCTGCTCTTACAGATATGAAACTATCAAGAGTTGGATAACCCATTAATGCTAAATCTTCTGCTTTTGCAACATTTACCATTAATTGATAAGATTTACCTCTAATTTCAGGTTTTGAAACTACAGCTACTCTATTTTTTCTCTCAATTCTTGCTTATAATTATTCTGGATTTAATTAATCATCTGGAACACCACCAAATTCATCAGGCTCTTCTTCAACATTATTTTCATTCATGTCATGTACAGGTGGTCTATCTGTTGGAGATATAACATAAGCTGATGCTAATAAAAATCCTTAAGGTTCTAATCCTTGTTTAGGATGTACTAAAGGTAACCAAGTATTAAAGATTTCATGAGCAGGATTCCTATACAAAGTTGAAATCCCAACTGAGTAAATACCAACAAGTTGATTTTAACCAAATTATTTTAAATCGTACACTTCTATTTTTATCTCAAAACTTTCGAATTCTATTGAGTTCATTAATAATCCAGTGAATGTAAATGACTAGTTAAATACAGCAGTATTGGCAGCCTTTCTTGTTGTGGTCACTTAAGGAGGTAAATTACCTACTGAGATCTTTACAAAAGGATCACAAGCTCCTGTCTTGTCTCCGCCTTTTAGATCTCTTACTTCGATTACTTAGACTTGAACCAAATATTCTTATCTCTGCTGCTATTTATTTTTCATTGTAAAAATATATATTATATTTATAATTAATTCATTTTAAATATATTCAACATCATCAATTTTTTATTAAATTAATATAAAATATAATTTGAAAAATTTAGAATATTATTTATACATAGATACACACAATTTGATATTTAACATCAAACTTTTTAATTATAGATGATTTATTATATAATCAACTTCATTATTATTGTTTATATAACAAAAAATTATTAGGACACATCTTAAAATAAGTTTAATCTTTAATCTAATCATAGTAAATAATAAAATTTAAATCATCTTTTTTTATAAATAATAATAATTATTATGAAAAACAATGGTAAACTAATAATTCTAACATATATCATTGTCAAATGATATATATTTTTCATTTTTTAATATCGCAAATACTAATTTTGATCAGTTATTTTATGTTCTCTTATACTTTCATATATAAATGATATATAATTTCAAATTATTTTTATGTCGAAGATATTTAAGAAGCTTTTAAAAGCCCTATTAAGCATTAAAAATGAGACAGTACATTAGTTAGATATTTTTGGTCAATTGCCTAGCTTTACAGTCTTAAATAAAAGTAGATACACTTCAAATTTCGGCTTCATTATGTCAATAATTATCGGCTGTTTAGCCTTATATTATTTAGATTCTGAGATAGCTCCAATGATTATGAAATAAAAACCATCTATTTATCAATCAGAAATTAAAGTGATCGAAACTGAAGTACATAACTTTAATAATGATTCTAGGCTTAATCACTTACAAATTCTAATTTTACCTTAGCAGTATCAATTGCTAGCTAATTTTCGCATCCAACATAGGGAATTAACAAATATTACACTCTGAACATTAGTTAATGCGTTAGATAGAGAATAAAAGATGAAAGAACAGGAAATTTAACTGTTTCGCTAGAGTAAATTATTTTAGATGATGTTTTAGTTGCTAAGAAATTCCAATAGAAACATGTAATATGTCTCATTTTACAACTGAATTGTAGAAGTAATACTTTTCAACTATCAGATTAGGAACAGTTTAGTGTATAAAAAAAGATTATTTAGAAAATAATCCACTTGTAAATATATTCATTATATCTATAGATCTTGCAAGGTCAATTTAATGCTAGAACATACAAGTATTTGTTCATCACATTTTCAGCTTGTCAAAATTCAACTGAATTTTAGGAATGTGCCCCATAAGAAGAAATTAATAAAATTTTGGAAGCAGGATAATATAATGTTTATAAAAGTGATTACTTAACTTAACTTGAACATTCTGGATAACCTTATGAATAAATTATTACAAATGAATTTACTACATTTTCACTAAGTACATCCAAAACCATTGTCCATTCATATCGAATTATGCAAACTTAAACAGATTAAGGATTAATTATGGAAGATGATTATACAAATTCTAATTTATAGTAATCAGAATGGAGAGAAATATCTGACTTTTATAATCATCAATATTTGGTTTGTCATTACATTAAGTTAGACTTTAAGTAAACAAATATAAAAAGAAATTATATAAAACTTTAAACTATTCTTGCAAAAATTGGAGGCATTTTATAAATTTTAACTTTGATTGTAGGTATATTTCTGAAACCTATAATCGATAATTTAATGAAATTCGAAATTGTTTCATAACTATATAGTTATGAAGAAGATTAAATTGATCGAAACATCTTACCTGATTAAATTATTTCTATTGAAAGAGATCTATAATCACCATCAAATTAGAGTAAGTTTTAGAATTTTTGTTCATCTGAAGAAAAAATTCATTGTAAAAAAGCAATCGCTTAAGAATCTTGTTTACAAACTTTTCTCATTATTTTTGGGTTTAAGAAATTTAAACACAATTAATTTTGTAGAGCTAAGAAAAAAATAATAAAAAATTTAGATATAGTTACAATATTAAGAAAGTTATAAGATATAGATACTATTAAGAAGATAATATTTACATAGGAATAGTTGGAACAACTAAAAAAGAAGCCTCGACCAAAGATAATGAAAATCAAGTAAGATAGCATAATTGAGAAAGATTTGAATTAACAAGATCAAGGATTTACTAAATCAAATATTTTTTCTTAATAATTAACAGATGTTACTCAACCTACATAAAAAATGTAGAATGTATTTAAGTGTTACATAGAAAATTAATTCTAATAATATCTTCAAAATTCAACTTAATTATAATAATAGACTAAAATAGTTGATTAAGAATAATCAAATAGAACTAATGTTCTTTTAGATACTCAAAATTCACCAAATTTAAATGAAATAAAATCGAAAAATATGGATGAGCCATAACTTAAATCACTAAAATTAGGAAAATAATCTAATGTTGAAGTTTGTTTAAAGTTATGAATTATTTTATATATAAATTTACTTTATATATATATGATATTTCATTTAATAGAGTTGTGTAGAATCTCTAATTATAAATGATTCATATTAAAATTAGACTTTGAAGTTATTATTTAGATAAAATTCATAGTAATTTGATTATATTTGTTTTTGAGTTCTAAAAGCAAATCTTAATAATTATTTAATAAAATGGCTTCTGCATTTCCAAAATTGCCAGGCTTTGTGCCAACTTAGGAATTGGATGTAAATTTATAATTAATTAAAGAAACCGAACTTTCGAAAAGTATCTGCATTAAAATAAGAGTAAAATAGAGATATAGTAAGAAATTGAAGTTTTACAATAAATTTAGAATTAACAACCAAATAAAGAGTACCCAGTACCTAGAAAATAACCTATTTAAGTTCCCCCTTAATCTGGAATGTTCAATCCAGATTATTTAAGTACAACACATGCTATGCATATGCCGAAAGTACTTAGTTAAAAATATTAATTAAGAATGTAACCAACGATTCTGAAGAGTTATATTAACCAAGTTGGGTAAAGATGGATAGACATGTTTTGAGATTCAGTGGTTATTTTAAAGAAGCAGTAGTTGAATCAGCTTTAGAGAATTACAGAATTCGCAAAATAACATTATTTTACTATTTAGAAGATCATTCATTAAGTATGACCGAACCAAAATAGGAGAATAGTGGAGTTCCTTAGGGGGCATTTTTAAAAAGATAAAAAGTAAAGATTATATAAATAATATAAAAGGTGTTAAGAGCAGATGGTTCAAAGACATTTATTATGCCTGAAGATTTTAGAATAAATCAAGATATTGAGATATTTGGTAAAACAATTAGATTATATGATTGTGACCAATACACAAGAGAATTTTATGAAGTTTGATCATCTACTATATATGATAGGGAATTGGTTAACCTTAAGCAGCATCATTTAATCCAGGCAGTGATTCTTTCGAGACTAAGACGATGACTAAGTATATACCATAAAAAGACACAGTTATGAAGGATTACTTAGAACATAAATTAGGTGGAGGCAAGGTTACATCATAAAAATAATTTTTAGAAAATGACAGAAAAGTAAAATTAAATAACAAAATATTTAGGTGCTTAAATTTTATGTATTTTCCGATATAGATTATGTATTACATTATTATTTGGCTGATGATACTATTGAAATTAAGGAAATCAATTCAGCCAATTCTGGAAGGGTTCCATTTCCTATGATGTTGAGAAGATAAAAATTACCTCGTAAATTCTCACTTAATCAACCTGGTCAAACTTATGCTGAAGATTTTATTAGACCTCAAGATATTCAATTTGGATAACCATTAATTATCTACAATAGAAAATTTATAATTAAAGGATGTGATCCCTTCACTCGATACTATTATTAAGAAAAATTTAATGTTGATTTTCCTTTAGGAGGTTAAGAAGAATATCAATAAGAATAAAGATCAAGTACTTATTCTACTTATTTTAGATATCATTATTCCTCCTCATAATGGAATAGGAGATGAATAAGACTCATTAGGTTATATTTATAGACTTTAACCAAAACCACCAAAAAAGGATTTCTTTAAATGGGTTGATAATCAAGTCAACTTAAGATTTTTGGCTATGTTTAATACTACTAAACCAGAAGATAAAGACAGGTATTTAATTCAATTTAAATTTAGAGTATTTGTTATAACATACTTTTTGAATGATGATAGCCTATTAGTTTATGAACCAACTGTAAGAAACTCAGGAATTCCAGATGGTAAATTCTTAGAAAAAAGAAAATATAAAAATGTGAACAATAATAATGAATTTTTTGTTCCTTAAGATTTTATTGTAGGAAATGAAGTTTTGATAAATGGTTGGAGATTTCAGTTACTCGATTGTGATGAATTCACTAAAAAATGGTTTGCTTAAAATTTTAAATGAATTATCTATTTTGCATAACATATTTAATAATATTTATCAATAATTACATAATTAAATGAATATGATTAATAAATATCTTTTAATAATTCATTTCTTTCAACGAAGCAATTTATAATCAGGCAGTTAAAATCCTACTTCCTTTCGAACATCCTCTTTAAGTTCATCATATGATTTAAATTCAATCTTAATAACTTCATTAAATTTCAAAATTTTCTTAAAAGCAGTAAATTATTATTCTAATCTGAACCATAAATATTAAATCCTTCCAAATTCAGTATTTTTACATATCACAAATCTGCTATCTCTAACTCCTAAAAATTATTTGCAAGTAAATAAATTTAAATAATCTTTATAAATATCTTCTACAGAGGCAAATTTTAATGGTTTATCAAAATCATAATATGTGGTCCAATTTTCATCTATATAATGTTAAAATTAATAATGTGTTTCATTTTCTTGGATTCTATAATATTCTTATGCAAATAACTCATGAGTTTCTGTTAAATTTTAGAAGTTAACTTTGATAGGGAATCTATATGATCTTGTTCCAAATCCTGGATCAACCAAATATGTTTCATCTTTAATTCTTACACACAAAAATGCATGTGTACTTGGAAGATCTGGATTGTAAGGGCTATTAGGCTCTCGAACTTAACATCTTATCAATTCCACATTAAATCCTAAATGTTTTAAAATATAATAAAGTAAGAGTTCATGTTCATAACACAATCCACCTAATTTTTATACACACAATCTTTATAAAATGTCAGCAAATTCCATAGAAATTGTTTTCAATTCTTTTAAATGCAATTCACAATTTTAATAAAAATTGTATATCATCTATCTATTTGTTAAAAGATATAATGCTTCAACTGAAACCGATAGCTTTATGTCTTTTGGAAGTCCTACACCTTTTAAGTAAGTTTGATACTCTTCTTATGATATTTATAATTGCATAATTATTTCAATTAAATTATTCAAATATTTTAATCTTGAAGTTTAGAATTGTGGTAATAATTATTTACACAATAAATTATTTGTAATTAAAACAATAACAATATTAATTACAATGTTTCTTATTTCTATACTATTTTAATAAATTTTATATTCTATTTTGAATACCTCATCAAACTTAAAGATCATATTGAATAATATAAGCGGCTTGAATAAATGGTAATATTTCAGCCAGTTTTTTCAGTTGAAATTTTAATCACTCAAATGGAAATGTCGAAAATCTAATAGCTAATCCAATATCATTTAAAAAGATTTCATCCTCTATTATGATATGTAAAAAGCCACAAGTAGTTGGATATTCAAAATTATATAGTTATACATAATTATTGTTTATTTGTTAAGAAAATAATTCGTAAACCCAAAAAGATGATTGAAATCAATATTTGTTTACATCTTCTTTTGAGATTTATTCATACATTTATTTTATACCATATGAAAAAAATGAATGATATAATTAAATTTAAAATATATCATTACTTATATAGATTAAAAAATTAAATTAATTTTTATAATTAAACAAAAAATAATGTATTATTTTTATTTTAGATAATATAGATAAATTTTGAAGTAAACTTGTAGTAATAGCCTTAATATTTAAATAAATGATAAAGAGACAAAAATATAGAAATAGAAAGAATTATGAAAATAGATTTAATTAATGGTTAGAACATATATTCAAGTTAAATATCAAATATACTATTTTGAGGATTTCCAAATTATTATTTATAATCATCACAAGCTCAAGTTTAGACGATTAAAATAGAAAGCCTTCTATCACTTCCTAATTCATCTATTATAGAAAATCATAGATAAATTAAAAGCCTGATAATAAATAATTACTAAATTAGCATCTTTTTCAACAAATTTTTATTCAAATAAGCCTACAATTCCATAAATGTTATGCAATTCATCCAAACAAATAAATTTCTTTTAACCAGACTTAACTTTCTTACTACTAAATCTATTGCACATTATTCAACAAAAAGGTTTAAAATATATTTTAGATAGTCTTCACATTATACATTAAAATAATGTTCATCTCTCCATTTTTAGGCATTATATTATCCATAATAGATCTGCATTGTTGTAGTATGTTTTAAACAGACATTGAACTAGCCTATTTTATTTTAAATATTTATCATCTATTTATATTCAATTGATGATGCATAATTTGCAATAAATTTTAAATCTAGGTCTGATAATTTGAATGTTTTATTATCAACCAATTCAGTAGTTGATGATAAAATTTATATTTATTAATTAGCAAGTTATATATAAAAGCCATTAACTATAAATTTCAATAGATGACCAGAAGGGATTTTATAATAATTATTACTCACTATATGATTGTCAATAACAGTAAACATAAATTAAGTTTAACCTGCAGGTAATACTTATAATCAAAAAAACAATTTTTATGATTGGATAAAATTTTAGAATTAATATGTTTAAGACGCTTCTGAATATCCTGCTTAATTAAGCATTTATGTTTATATAGAATGATTAATTTAGTTGTATTTGTTTTGTTATATAACTTTATTGAGTATTTTAAAATGGTAAAAATAGCCTACTAAAGGTTTATGTATTTAATCTTCTAATGTTTATTCTGGAGATTTATGCAACTAACTTATAATATCTATCTCATTCATTTTAATGTCTTCCTTTTTAATGGTTTCAATAATCTAATCGAGGAACTCGCTAAAAAATTAGTTTTTTTGATGGAAGACTGTATAATTAAGGTAAAGGAGAACATACTTAATTAGAATATTCTTAGAATAAAAATCAGGGAATTGGCAATTGATAGGGTTCTTTTAATTTCTTCTGTTTCATTAGAATGGAAAATTGTAATCTTAGGTCTAAATTGATAAATTATTAGGCAATATACATAATTTATATTTATAAAATATATATGCAAAACAGTTAATAATAGGTTAATATGCCCTAGTCAAGAATGTTAGGTGATCCTGCCTAATCATAATACTTATAAAATTCAATGGCCTAAGATCCTCAATTTTTGAGTTATCAAAATTACAGAAATGAAATCTAAGAGGAAGGAGAAATTGTAGCTGAAACAGCAAAACTTAGAAAATTGTACTTCCTTATGCTACTTCAATTTATTATTGTCATTGTTTTTAGTTATGTAAGACTTGTTTTAATTATGGTAGCTGCGAATAGAATCTTTAGAAGATTACTTTTAAAAGAATTCTTATTGGATAATAATTTTGTCAATTGGATGCTTTTTGCTTTCATTGGCGGCATATTTTACAAATCCAGATAATACAGCAGTAAATGTAGTACTGTACGTACTATTTACTATAGCTTTATATTTCTTTTTTATATCCCTAACTGCAATTACAAATATTGAACAATCTATGATGGCAGCCTTTATGATTTTAGGATAAGTAATAAATTGCATTTTATAATTGTCAAGATATTTTCATAATTCCTATCAGTGATGTAAAGCAGAATTGAAATGTATTATCATTAACAATCTCTCTATGTGTTAGCAGGTGGACTTATAATCTTCTAATTATTCATCATTTATTCGATTATACCATTCTTTGAGATGATTATCACCTTAGTTTCAGGAGTAGTTTTTGGGTATCCTTTTTATTTTATCTTAGATTTTTACTCATTTATAGTACTTAAAGCAATTTAAGTTAAATTAAATCAGGTGCTATAAATGGAAGTGTTAGAATCTATGTTGATTTACTAGGTGTATTTTTCCATTTGAACTCTTTGATGGCAGATTTATTTAGAAAAGAAAAACCAATTGATAAATGAATAATCAACTATGTAATATGTAAATGTAAATAATAATGATCATCCAAAATAAAGGAAAACTTCTGCATTCTATCTCTCATTTTAATCTAAAAGTTTCTATTCTTTTTTTATCTTTTCATATTAACTAACCCAAAGCTAAATTATATTATTATAAAGTTACTTTTAGATCATCATTCCTCAATCTTTAGATTTATGGTATATATAATTCTAATGTCTTAAATTCTAATTTATTCAATTGTAAATACTATTCTCCTTTATTTTGGAATTAAATGATTTCATCTCCAATTTCAACCTTCTTTGTTATTAATTTTGCTTAATCACTTGATAGTTTAAGATTGGCTAGTATTTGTTAGAAGATCAATTTATCTACAAATTAATTTTAATTGATTTGAGCCAAAAGACATTAACTAATCTCTATACATATAGGAATGTTATTTGTCTAAAGAGATAGATCAACAAAAAAACATCCCTTTAATAACAATATTTGATATATTTTCCTCAAATGATTTACAGTTGAAGAACATGATTTTATCTCTCCTAATGATTTCAATATAGTGTAATAATATCTTATAATCTCAATGTAATTTTGATTTGTAATATTTCTTAATGGTAATTATTATAATATTGAATTAACCATTTAATATTCATTTTATAATCTCTTCAACTCATCATCATAATCAGTTGTTATTAAATTGGTTTGAGTTAGGAAATATTTTATATAGTAATTCACATCTTAAGGTCTATTAAGTTAATCTTTAATCAAAATTATATCTTATTGTACAATCTTTATTGTCAAATGATGTTAGTAAATGTTTGGATTAACTGAATTTAAGAAATAATCAAAATTACTGAATCGCTCAAATTCTCTCTCTAAAGAATCCTTATATTTCATTACTTTATTTTTCTATTCTTATAATAACTATAAAATTATTGCTTTTCTATTCAACACTTTTTATTCATCTTAAGCTTTTAATTGTTTATCTTTATCTTCTTATAACACTGTCATTAGTTTTGGATTTAATTAGATACTATCAACTTTTAACCATTATTCTTATTCATAAATTAAACCAGAAACATTAGAATTCACTCTAACTGATCCAGATGCATCTTTATAAACTTAAGCAAAATCTACTTTTGTAATTGTACTATCATTACACTTCCACCAAGTTGTTAAATCTTTTTTATCTAATACATAACAATAATAATGTCCACTAGTAGCTGACCCATCATGCATTAAAACTGAAGTTAATAAATAAATATTTTAATCTGACTTTAATAGTTTTTTCTTCTACTCTTATATTCTTTCCAATTAATCAGTTAATAATTAAACAGTTTTCATCATTTTTTCTTTGTATGATTCTAATTAAAATAACATTTTATCACTCGAAATAATATTTGGATTTACTGAGCTTTCATCACAAATACAAAATCCATCAATTGTAACCAAATTATCAATTTAACCTTCATTTCTTTTGAATAATTTTATTACTTAATTAAATTGATCCTGAATCTCCTCTTTAGTATCTCCAACACTCTTTAATTAATCTAAAATTCTTTATTCTTCTTAATCTAATTTTTATAGTTCTAAATTCTTTTAACCTTCATTGATAGTTTTAAATTGATTGATATTTAAGGATGAATAAAAATTAAATTAAGTATTATTTTTACAAACTTACTTTTATTTAGCATCATAATAAACTCTGTTGATATAGAATGAAATTAAAAATGGAGCTTGTTAAATATTTTGATCTATTTTAGCTTTAGTTTTTTCTTTGGTGTCAGTTTCGTATTCATCAATTATTAGAACTCGTGTATTAATGAAACCTTTTTCTAAATCTTTATCTGCAGCTTCTATACTGATAGATCCAAAAATAGTATCATTAATTTTTATAATTTCCTAATCATTCTCTTTGTAACTTAGAATTTCTTTAGCTTATCCATAGAATATGTCACAAAATAGTTTTTTTTCCTATTCAAAGTTTTCTTCTTTAAATGCTTATTCCATAGCATCTAAAAAAGAATTTTAGAGTTCGTTAAAATCATTTTAGACTCCTCTTATAAACATAGCACTTGGTTTGAATTTTTATAGTCCTTCCAATAAATTATAAGGATTTGTATATGTTTGATTGGATTCTTATAACATTAGAAAGAGCTATTATAATTGTAATAAAAAATTAGAAGCAGTAGATTGAGTGTTTTTTAAGTCTAGTTCCAAAATCAATTTTCTAAATGGTAAGACATTGAAAAGACTTTGTAACATGGCATTCATGTAACAAGCTAAAAAGTAAAAAATTTAAAAGATTTATACTATTGCCCAAATTTTTAAGTCCCACAGGAATATTTTTATTAGATCTTTCATTTTAAATAATTGGTTTTTAGCTATAAATATTTGTTAATAAATATTACTCAGCATTTTAATCCAAAGAAAGTTGCATAGCGATTTTTAAATCTTATTATTCTATTTATTGAAGTTGTAATTTTAGTTGCATCTAAGAATTAAATAAATCATCTTGATTCATGGTTTATGCATTTTCTTATTCACTAAAAGTATAAATAGATTTATCTTACGTAATTTTAATTAGTTCTTCATGAAAAGTTTGTTAATTGAATCCACATTATTACCATGCTTATAGAATGTGTGTCTTTTTAAATCCAATAGAAGTGTATTATTAGAATAATTGATCGACTGTAAGAGAGGTAAGTTTAAAACTACGATTTAATTTTTTATTGGTTCCCATATAGATTATTAAATTTAATATGTAATAACAATCGACATAATAACAATAAAGATAAGATACGGTTGTGTTAAAAGAACGAGAAGAAAGGAGATTTGAAGAGTTTTTTAATAAATTTTCAAGAAATGGAACTTCTTTAAATTTTGCCGATATTTTAATGTTTGCATTAGATCGAAGTCTTGTTACAAATGGTAATAATTTTAGTATGTTTTTGACACATTTCGATGATGCATTGGGCGATTTCAAAGGGGAGAGAGCATTGAATAAACCATAATTTTATTTCTTTTTGAAGTAACTGGCAAAGAAAATATTTCATAATGATCCTTTACATTTAGAGAAGATGTTGAATGAAATATTATCTGAAAAAAGTACAGTGAAGGATCATAATGTAGAACCAAATCGAATAATTGTACTTGATGAAACAAATAAAAGATTATTAGCTGAATCAACTATTTCAGCAATATCATAATATGAAAGAGAAATGAAAAATATATTTACAATATATATGCAAGAGAATTTATCAAGAGGTATAATAATGTTGAGATGGAAGGAGATTTAAGTTTAGAACAAAAAGATGAATATGGTATCATTAATAAGATTTTTAAGAGATGCAGAAATTGTACCTCATATACTTTCTATTGAATAATTAGAAGAAATACTTATTAAGATAATTCCTCCTATAAATAATAAAGAATATGATTTTTTTTAAAAAGGGTATTTCATTTAAATTTATGAAAAAAATTTAACAGAATGCAATGATACAGATCCATAAATTTTAATTCATGAACTTTAATTACTATTAGCTAGAATTTCATTTGAATTAGGACTAAAAGAGGAAGGAGGAGGTAATTAAAATAATAGAAAATTGGATGTTGATAAATACATTAGAAAATTCTTTGGGGAATAGATGTTATTTAGAAAGAATGAGAATATTGAAGGTCCCCTTCCAAATTTAAATAGAAAAATAATTAAAAATTTAGAAAAGTTTACCAAACAACTCATCAATGATTTAAGTGATTTTGAAGAAAAAGATTCTTCAGATGATGAACCAGATGGAACAGATGAATTATAAAGAATTGCTGCTTTATAAGGATCTTTATTATTTGAATAAGGTACTATTATTATTATATACTTATTAAGTATCTCTTAACATTCCTGTTGATTAGATTATTAAAATGCTAGATAAAGAATTACCTTAAATTCCTCCTTTACCATAATAAGAGAAATAAATGCCAAAATGGGATCCTGAGAAAAGAGTAACTATTGGAAATCCAAAACCAGAATCACCAAAAAATAAAAATCCTAAACCTAAAGCTGCTAAAAAATAATAATAAAGAAGGAAAGCCGGTGAACCAGAACCAAGAAAAATAATTTTTGAATAAAAAACAGAACCAAAATAATCAGAATAATATATTTAAGAATTAGCTGATAAATTGAAATTTGAATAAAAACTTATTTCAGATGTTGAAAGAGGTTCACTCTCAGATGTTTAGGTTGCTCCTGTACTTATACCAGAAGTGTTATATCCTCCAAATCCACCATTAGATGTACAATTCTTAGTAGAAGCAGCTATAAATTCTCATAATGAAGCTAACTTTGTTTTTGCCATATAGAATTATGATGATGCAAGAGTAATAATCATTTAAGTATTCTTAGAAAAAATGGATATCTTTAACTGGAAGAGATCTAACTGATGGATTAGAATTATATTTTGAATTCAGTAAGGCTACAGTTTATGAATCAGCTGGAAGAGATGATTTAGCCTTAATAGCATATTTAAATGCTCGATAATTTTCAACAAAATTACCAACAAACAATCCTGATAAAGCATTGTCTTATTGTGGACTTGGATCTGTTTTTTATAATACAGAAGAGTATGATTGGGCACTTAGATCATTTCTAAAAGTATTAATCATATATTTATTAAATATAGGCGAGAGAATATAGAGAAAATAGTATCGGAGTTGAAACAGTAGATACTGCTACTGTCTACAATAATTTAGGATGTTGTATGTACATGTTAGAACGAAATAAAGAAGTAAATAATAACCCTTTATATATTTATAGTCATATGGTTATTTTAAATTAGCACATGCAATATTGGAATCTTAATTAGGATAATTTCATCCAAGAACATTAACTGCAGCTAGAAACATTAACAAATCTAAAAATTGTTGGTTTGAAAATAAACCAGAATTTCCTAAATTGTGGGTTGAATATGCATAAGATCCTTTTGCTGGAGGAAAAAAGAAAAAAAAAAAGAAGGGAAAGAAATGATATCTCATTTAACTAAAATTATTTTTCTTATTAAAAATATATTAATAATACTTTTTTTAGATTTAATAAAAAAATATTATTAAAAATTTAATTGAATGGCTTTGAAATCTGCTGCATTATTTGAAAAGATGGATCCATTCATCAAAAGTTAAGGTGCTGAATTAGTTAAAAAAATCAATGCCGTATATTATTTTGAAGTCTCTAAAGCAAAAGGAGAAACTCCAGAAGTTTGGACAGTTGATCTTAAAAATGGAACAGGAGTTAATCTTATTAGTTAAATTCAAAGTCAATCTCTAAAGGAAAGGTAGGAACAGCTGATGCCACATTTACCATGGTAGATGATGATATGATTGCTATGGCTTAAGGAAAATTAAATCCTTAATAGGCTTTTATGCAAGGCAAAATGAAAATCAAGGGAAATATGGCTGCTGCAACCAAATTTACACCAGATCTATTACCAAAGGATGCAAAACTTTGAGTTAAATATTAAGATCCATATCATAATATCACATTTGATTTTTCAGTCTTTATAAATTAAACTATCTTCCCATTTAATTCTCCTTCACAAAGTTCTTTATTTCCAAACCATTTCAAAGATTTATGTTAATCTATTTCAAATTATTTAGGAGCTTTATTTAATAATTCTTAAAACTTATTGACTTTTGGTTCTTAATGGAAACTTATTTCAAAAATATCCTTATTAATATTCTTTTATATTGGACTTCTATTTTGATTATTAGGAGATATTTTCTAGTATATCGGATTATTCTGTATCATTAAAGGTCGTTTTTGTATTTAATATTGTTGAAATTATGGTAGAATAGGTTTTTGATTTTTCTTTTTGCTTGGTTTCACATTAATGAATTTTGTATCTACTTAAAAATTTAGAATAGATTTTATTTCTCTCTAAGGTTATTCTATTTATTTTTAGTATAATTATATTTTTCCTTGATCTCTAAATGAATAAGATTATTTTGGAGACTTAGACATTTAAGCAGGTATTTCTATTTATTATTTTGAATTTCTGTCTATTTCAAATTTTTATTAAGGAGGAGTTTGATTAAATTGATTTCTTTTTATCTCATTCTATTTCAGGTTAACAGGATATGTAAACTTATACTTGGATTCTAAATCCTTAATGTACTGCTTAATTTACCTCAAAATTGAAAGTACTTAATGAAGATCTTTGGGGAATTGTTGTAAATTTTTATTCTTCAATTTAGAATTCATCTGGACATTATGAAAAATTCATATTTTTATTTATTAATATAAATCTTATTTATAATTATTTATATGAAGTTTTTTTATGATCAGATCAATCTATGAGAATAGATTTGAAAGTTAATAATTTGAGAATAAGGTACATGTATGAGAATGCTTTTAATTGCTATTATTTATGAAATAATTAAAAAAGATTGTTTTTTAAAAATAATTTTAAAAATGCCAAAGGGATAAACAACAAATACATAAAAAGCATAGAAAGCAGCAAAAAATGCTAAAGTTGCCAAAAAGGTAGTGAGAGCTAGAAAGCATTTCTAAAATAGATTCCATACAGAAAAGCCATTAGCTTTATCTAGAAAACCAAAATTCACAAGGTTAGGCAATTATCTAATAATTAATAGATTAACAAGATAACTTACTCCTATTTCTAAAGGATTAGATTTCTAAAATGTACTTAGACACCCACTTATTACAGAAAAAGACATGAAAAAAATGGAAGATGAAAACACAATGGTGTTCTATGTTAATTAAAAATCAACAAAGCCTTAAATTAAAAGAGCATTTTAGAAAATCTATGATGTTAAAGTCAGAAAAGTTAATGTAATAACGCTTTATATTTTAAGATCCTTAACACTTTTGGTGGTAAGAAGAAGGCCTATATCAGATTAGGTGGAGATAATGATGCTCTCAATTTGGCTAACAAAATCGGAATTATTTGAGCTCACAAAATATTTATCAAGTACAATAATAATATACATTTATATCATTAACTATTTTCTTTAATTATATTCATGGGTTAAGTTTAACAGTCTAAATAACACTTTTTAAAAAATTGGCAAAAATTGGACTAACATCAAAGCAAAATGTAATTGTGAGTTTCAATTTAGTTTTGGAAATGTAATTGAAGTCTATTCAGATTAATAGGAGTAAGTTGCAGTTATACATAAACTATTTTAAAATGATGAATAATATCAGAATGAGTTAAAAGAATTGCAATCATATTAATAATTATCAAATATACCTGGATTGATTAGATTATTAGAAATTCATAAATAAGAAGAAAAGTATCTTTGCAGTAATTTTTATAAAATTGATGCAATCTATGAATATGGATAGCAATTTGCATTTTAAATACCATTGTATTAATTTATTCAACAAGTGATGCATACATTGATTGAATTATAAAATAGAAATAAATATCATGGTGATTTAATACCTTCGTCTTTTATCTTTAAAAATTAAGTTAAACTTTTTCTTCCTAAAGTAAATCACTACACTCGACTCTTAAATGGCATATAAGAAGATTGTTATTTATCTCCAGAATTATTTGAGTTTTTAGGAAGAAGATCTTATCATTTTTAATATCATAAGGAAAAAAGTGAAATATTTTCTATTGGTCTTATTACTTTGGAACTGATCTTGTAATAATCAATATAAAATATTTACAATTTTTCTACCTATTAAATAAACAAGGGTAATTAAATAACTATTTTAGATATTTTGAATAATTTTCTTCAAAGAGCAGACAATAAATTAATAAGTAAAATGTTAGAGCTATAACCTGATAATAGACCTAATTATCTTTCAGTTTATGAAGAAAGTTTAGTTGAAATGATGCAGCAATCTGCTGTTAAAATAGAATATTAAGAATAAACTTAAATAAATTAAATACCAGATCAATAATTAAAAGAGATACTTTCAATTCATTAATCAAAAATTTTACATATCAAAACTTAAATAGTCTAATCAAACGATAAATTTAATTAAATTAATCCAACTTAAAGATCTGTACCAAATCTTATGGATAACAGAAGAATAAAATCTATATCATAATCTAAATAGAATCAAAAAAACAAAATAAAAAAGGTTCATCTAGAAATAATTGAAAAAAATCCTTATAACTTCATTAAAATGCACTCAAAATAATAATCTAGTCATCTTTCTAACTTAGAGCAATTAAAATAACATGAAAACAAATTGAATTAGAATACTAATATGATCAATCCTAATTAAGTCTAATAATTAAATTCTTCTTCATAATAAATTGTTCATTCCTAATCACCTAACAACAGATATTCATATAAAAAATCTCCTTAATGTTCAGCTATAAAACATTAATCTGTTGAACAAAATGAATATGCTTTTTTGCATGAATAAATTCATGTGCCATTCAACCCAGGATCTAATTTTTTAGATTCTTCAAGATAATAAGAAATATTTGAGATCATTACTCCTAATAGTGTAAGGCAGTCATCTAAATTAAAAGATATTTCAAATAAAAAACCTCAAATTACTTTATCAAACATGAAACTTAATAATAAAGAGTCTTTATAAAGAAAACCTTAGTTACTTAAAAGTCAAAGACCTAGTTCAAAATCTCCAATTGAATAAAGAATTCAAGGAAAATGTTATAAGAAAAAGTGATTTAATTAATAAAAATTTAAATAAAAATTATAAGATATAATTATGAACGTCGGTACTCATGTTAGTGATGATTGTGTAACAGAATTCAATAAACTTAAACTTGGTAAATAATACAGATATTTGACCTTTAAATTAAACAATGAAACAAATGAAGTAATTATCATAATTTATTTTTAGATTGTAGTTGACCATGTTGGTGAAAGAGATAGCAGTTATGCTGAATTTGTTAGTCGTCTCTAAAATGAAGTATAAATAAAATATTATTTTCTTAGTCAAGATATGCAGTTTACGATTATCATGCATAAACTGATGACGTTCCACCAAGATAAGTTGAGAAATTAGTTTTTATATTTTGGTCACCAGATGCCAATCAACCAGTTAAATAAAAAATGTAATATGCCGCAGCAAAAGAAGCTTTAAAGAAGAAATTGAGTGGATTTTCGAAAGAAATTTAAGCTAACGATCCATCTGAAGTCGAAGAAGCAGAAATGCGTAAATTAGTATTAAATTGAATAACAATAATCACAAAATAAATAACATTTTAACCAAACATTCTTCTTTATGTACTTTTTATTCATTCTATATGTTCTTAAAAATATTCATAATTCTTTCAATCAAAGTTTACTGAATCAATACTCAACTTTTCTTCCAATAAATATTTCATCTACAATATAGTACTCTATTTATTTCATCATAAGATCCAATAATACAACATATCTAATTTTATCAAACATCAATTCTATACTCTTAAAATACTAAATCCAAAATTGAGGTAAAGATAATTATTTTTATAATTTATTGTTTTCATGTTGTTCTAAAATAAATTAAATCTTTTTATCTCATAAATTCATTATTGTCTTTTTAGTTTTTATATTTTTTATATTTTTCTCATTTATTACATTATAAGAATTAAAGCTTATATTATTTTCTTTTCAAATACTAACTTAATTTAATCATAATTTTAATTATAATTCATATTTTCTCTTTTATTTAATTGACTTATACATATGTATTGACATGTCAATATATTCATTCAAAATATGCTGTTTTTGATATATTGCTGAAGGCTTGATTTTCTGTTTAAAATTTGAAATTTGAGTGGCAGGTTTAATTTTATTTTTTTTTAAATGACTGATATTATATCTTAATAAAAACTCACAAATCTCTTTTTTTTATTAATGACACATCATAATTAAGAAAGATCAAATTTTGGTTTGATATTTTTTAATTTTATTATGATAACTAAATATCAATCTTGGATAAAATAATTTTAATATTTAGTTCAAAGTTAAATAAGTTTAACTTTTTCTTTCCATTTATCTGAAACTATATTCGAATAGTCAAATAGATTTCATTATCATTCATGATATTCTTTTAAGTAATAAAGTAAGAATAAATATTAATTTTTTTCTTTTCAAACCTTCTCTCCTTCAGTGACTTCAAAAAGAAAATAGTGAGATATAAGTTTTTTAAAAATCTAAAATTAATTTTCAATGTTAAAAGATAAAATCCAAAAAATAGTAAATTTTCAAATTTTTCATTAAATTTTAAAGATTGAATCCCTAAATCGATCAATCCTGTTAACTTTATTATTATTGCAATCGACATATTTAAACAAAAAATTATTTTAACCTAGACTTTATCAATTTTGAGAATAAATTTTTGGCTTTTTTTAAATTTAACACTGAATCTAAAATAAAAAATTCTAACAATTTTGAACTTAACTTTTGAACAATAAATTCCTACGATGATTATCCCAAGAATATAAGACAACCTCCTGATGTGACTTTATGCCATTTTACTGTTAATTTAAGACTCTTAAAATAAAGAACTTAAGAATAAAGTGATAATACTATTATTAAAATAATTTTAATGAGTGTTAAAAAAGAAAAAAAAATCTTAATTTAATTTATATTCCTTAGTCTAAAATAAATTAATATTACCCCTGAGTTTGCTGAATATTCAATATTTTAATGTACACTTGGACTTTTGTGATTTATAATTTCAATAACTTAGGAAAAAAATGAATAAAAAATTAAAGTAAATATTTCAATACTCATCTTCAATATTTATTCACAATCCTTTTTACAAATCAATTAAATATGGTGTTCAAACATATAAAATATGTGATAACATTTTTGATCATATTTAGAAAAGCGTAACAAAATTTGATCTCCATTTTGATTAATTTTAAACGAAAAAAATTTCTACCTATTGAATTCAGTATTTATTTGATTATATTTTTTATTTGTTTTAACATAAAAATATTAATTATTATAAAATATTATTTTATTTAAATTAATTATATTAATCCTATAGAAAAATATTTTACAAAAAAATTCAGTGATTTCAATATTAAAATAATGATAATAAGCATTATAAAATCAAATATCAACTCTATTTTCTTAAAGACTTAAATCATTTACTGAATTAATTTATTAAATTTACAGGACTGAAGTTTGTTTTTGTATTTTTTAATTCTCACTATTTTCAAAAATCAATTTAATATCTCTATCCAAGAGACTTATTATACTTTGATTTATTTTCTTAAACTTTAATTGATTGTTTTCCTTAATCATATTATAGGAATTGAATGCTTATAGAACTTCTTCTTCAAAAGAAAGCTTACTTGTATCATAATAATTTTAATTGATACTTGCTTTCATTTTTTCTCTGATTCCTAATTAAATTTTAGGTTTATGAATATAATTAAACAATATTTGTTAATCATCATTTAATAATATTTTCTTCAACTTATCAATTTCTATTAATTTATTAATAATATAGATAATATCAATTTAATTGTAAATTGATTCAATACTTTATTAAATTAATTGCCTATCCTTGCCACAAGTGAATAAATATTAATGAACAAATAATTTGATTTATTAAGCTTTTAATTTAAAGAACTTTTTTAATTGTGCAAATTAACTTTAATTAACTAATCCATCAACTTAGTTTAATGCTTGAACTTAAGGATGGATTTTTTACTGATTATTTGGTTTTTCAAAATAAAAAATTTCTGATGCTAAAAATAAATCACATGAAAGTTTGTTAAAAGGCTTGACAATTGTCCCCGCCAAAAATAACATTAATTCTAATAAACCTCCCATCTACCCTAAAATATCTAAAATATTATTATAGGTTCTATAATATAATGCTTCTCTGTCATCTAAATATAAAGTTATATCAATCAGTTAATTTTACTAAATATTAAATACTTGTTCAGACTATCTTTCAAATAATAAAGCACTGTATTCATCATTATTCTCAAAATAATAAAAAAAGTTTTCCTTATTATAAAGTTTTGATTTTCTCATCCACAATGTCATCGATTTGTATTAATATGAAGAAATAGTTGTTGTTATCAATTTTGAGACTAAAGAAAATGGATTTTTGGCTTTCTATTGATTTAAAACTGAATCAGAGATAAAAAAACCTAAGTATCCTTGACTTAATTTTTTATTAATATATTCTAAAGGTGCACAATCTATATAGAATTAAAATAATACTTTCTTCTGTTGTTGCATTATTGCATTTTTCAATTTTAAATTAAAGACTTTTAAAAACAGGACTTTATGGAGTTCCTTATAATGAGAGTGATATTGAATTCCAGTCTTTAGGATCAAAACAGAGACTTGAAGCTAATAAAGCTTATGAAATATTAAGTTATTCTTAGATCTATGTATTTATTTGAATTGTTGCACAAGATTTTAATGTAAAATTTGTACAATTGTTCTTAATTGTGTTATTTTGATCAGTAATTCTTGAACATGCTTACATTGAAGCTGTAAAAATTTGTGAACCAGTTTTCTAAATTATTGGAATTCCATAACTATCAGACAAAACTAGGTAAAAGAGGAAGGAGTTTTACTCTAAATTGAATTCCTATGTTTTAATAGACACATTTATAATACTTCTGGATTAGCTTAATATTAAATATTTTAAAGAACATTAGGACTTTTGCGATCTATCATATCAATCACTAAGGATAAGAAAGAATAGTAAATTAATGCTAAGATCCCAATACTCATTAACACTCCAAAAGCAGTATGATATTCGTTTTCTTTTTTGATTTATAAGTTAATTTGAGATCCAAACATATCAATTGAAACGAGTAATTTTCTTAAATTCTTCACAAATAAATTGCAAAACTTCATAATTTTTTGATAGCTTGAAAATATAAATAATAATACAAGTTTAATTAGTATTCCAGCTAACTTGAATTGAATAAAAATATAAATCTTATAATATAATAATAATGAGAATAAATGGGAGAAATGTCCAAAAATGCAAATAGAGTGCAAAATGAAAAATGTTGAAGTTAGTTGTAACAAGTATAATAGGTAATAATTTACGTCACAATAAAATAGAATTTTGTAGAGATATGAAGTAATTAAATAAATAAATTATCATGATTGCATATTAAAATAAAAAATGACGACATATTAATTATAATATGTAGAGATTGAATTAAGTAGCTGGACAATTTAAGGAAGTGAAGTTCTTAGCAGATCCACTTGAATATCTTAGATTATATGACATGTTGGATAATGAAGAGAAAGAAATTTGTTAGGCTGTTCGTAAATTTGCATAGGAGAAAGTATATAAGATTGAATAATAAGGCTGCACCAACAATAAATAAGTATGTGGAAGCAGCAGAATTTCCAACAGAGATAGTTGAAGCTTTAAAACCATTAAAGTTAATTCATAAGACAAATACTTATGTGAAGACAGGTTTGGCATATTTAGAATTAGCTAAAGTTGATGCTGGTTTATCAACATTCTATTTATTAATGTAAAAAGAGTTGCTATAATAAGTTCCTCATTGGTGCCTCACAGTATTGAGACATTTGGTTCAGAAGAATAAAAAAAGAAATATTTGACTAGGATTAAAGATATGGATATTCTTGGAGGATGGGCATTAACAGAGAAGGAGTATGGATCAGATGCATCTAGTATACAAACAACTGTGAAAAAGGTTTAAGGAGGTTATTTATTGAATGGAAATAAGAGATGGATAGGAAATGGAAATAAAGATATATTAGTTGTATGGGCAAGAAACAGTGAAAATCAGAATATTGAAGGATTTATTGTTGAAAATAAATGGGCAGGAGTTCATGCAGAACCTATAAAGCATAAGTTGGCACTAAGGATAGTTCAAAATTGTCAAATAACATTTAAAGATGTTTTTGTACCAGATGAAAACAAGATGCCAAAAGCTAAAGACTTTTAGAATGGTGTAACATAAGCATTGTAACATTCGAGAGTAGGTGTTCCTTGGATAGCTTTAGGAATATAAGCAGGAGTATATGAGAATGTAGTGAAGTTTGTAACAAGAAGAAAGTAATTTGGAAAACATATTGCTGGATTCTAATTATAATAAGAGAGACTAACAAGGATACTAACAACATTTTAAGCTAGTTTTCTTATGGTTTTGTAAGTTTCAAGGATGGCATAAGAGAAAAAGGCAAGTTTGGGATAGATTGCTGCAGTGAAAGCATGGGTTAGTGATAAAACAAGAGAAGTAGCAAGATTAGGAAGAGAAATGATGGGAGGAGATGGAATTTTAGTTGAAAATTATTGTATTAAAGCAATGACAGATGCTGAAGTAGTTTACACTTATGAAGTAATTAATAATTTAAATATTTGATAGGGATCTTACGATATTAATAGTTTGATTGCTGGAAGGGAAATCACAGGGTTGGCTGCATTCAAGTGAAGTCTGATTTAGAACAAATAATATATATAAATTATTTAAAGTTTCTAAAGGAAATTAATAAAATTTCATTAAATAATGAATAAAAAGACTAAAACCCCTTAACAATAATCTCAAGCTTAAAATCAACAAATAAATCAACCATCTCCAATGATGCAACCAATGTCTTTACAATCTGGACCATCTCCCTCTCAACCTGACACTTCTGTTTTAGATGAATCTGGAGGAGAGAGTGTAAAAGTTGCATTGCGAATAAGACCAATGAACTAATTGGAACAAGGGAGAGGAGATGAATAATGTATAAAAGCTATATCAGATTCTAATTGTTAACTCTATTATAAGTAATTCTTGATCTTAATTAGCAAAGAGGAGTAGCTAAATAATTTCGATTCAACGCTGTTTTAGATGAAAGGTGTACTTAATAAGAGGTGTTTATGAAATGCAATATCTAAGAGTTATTAGATGCAGCCTTAGATGGATATTCAGCTACTATTTTTGCTTATGGATAAACAGGGTCAGGTAAAACTTATACGTAAATTTTCAATTTTAATATTCAAGCATTTCAGGAGTTGAAGAACGTTTGGCCAGAGAAAAATACATTTCTGATGATTCAGAAGGGATTATTCCTAGAGCCACCAGGTATTTGTGGCAGATTATGGCACAAAGAGCAGAGCAGTTCTATGTTAAAGCCTCTTTTACTGAAATCTATAATGAATAATTGAGAGATCTTCTTAATCCTGCTTCAGGAATCTTACATTGCAGATGGAATCTACAGAATGGATTCTTTGTTGAAGATCTAATGATTGTTGAATGCACTTCATATTCTGATATTCAAGCAGTTCTTCATGAAGGAATGAGAAATAGAAAGTAAGGATCTCATGAATTAAACAAAGATTCAAGTAGATCTCATTCCATTTTAACAGCATATTTAATTGGAGAGTAAAATATCGATGGATAAATTGTCAAAGTATAAATTTATTTTTTAAATTCTCGCAGAGATATGGAAAATTCTCATTCGTCGATTTGGCAGGGTCCGAAAGATTGAAAGAATCAAAATCTCAAGGAGACATGATCAAAGAAACAGGAAATATCAATAAATCTTTATTTACTTTAGGAAAAGTCATCAAATCTCTTAGTGATAAAAAAAACAAGCTACCTTACATTCCTTATAGAGATAGTAAATTAACTATGCTTTTAATGGATTCCTTGGGGTATATCACTTTTCTTATTCCTTAGAGGTACTGCTAAAGCTTTGATGATTGCTTGTGTCTCTCCATCTGCTGCTTATTATGAAGAAACTTTGAGTACTATCAATTATGCCACTTCAACTATGAATATTCAAAATAAACCAGTCATATCTATGGGAGAAAAGGATTAGATTATCTACAATCTTACAAGGGAGAGAGATTTACTGAAAATGGAAAATCAATATCTAAGAGAATAATTATAAAGGTATTCCTAATTATTATCTAGGTATACCAATGGATTACCCATAGAAATACCTAATTTTAATGATAAAAATGGATAAAAAAAATAACTTCCTCCCTTACCATCCAGACCCATAAGTCATAATCAAATTCTTAATAGTTAACAAAATGGATTTGATCAATACGTCAATCCTAATAATAGTAAAATTGATTTACCTGTAAATAAAATTTTACACGAATACTAAATGGAGATCAATAAATTAAAATAAGAAAATGATGAATTGAGAAATGCACGTGATGTTTCTGTCAAGAATTATCATATTGTAATGAATGAGAATAATGCTTTGTAACTGAAACTAGAAAATTTAGAATAGATTTTTATTGGTAATCCAATAACCAAAGGGGATCATGATAAATCGAAAATTTAAGAAGAATATATGTCAAGTGCATTATTGATTGAAAATAGTGATTTAAAAAAAAAAGTGGCATCTTTAGAAGAGAAAAATATGGAGTTAGCTTAAGTATGAAAATTTAACATTATTTTAGATTGCTAGAAAAAATCTAAGTGGAAAGAGTAGCGATCCGAATGATTTACATGAAATAGTTTAATTGAAATAAACGAATAATTAGTTATAATAACGTGTAGAATTTTTATAAGCTAGAGAAAGAGATTTACTTGAATAAATAATGAGATTGTAAAGACAACCCAAAGCTTATGCAGGATTTTGATAATAAATTATAATTTTATATTTCAAATACTACAAATTTTGGATGGATAACTCACAATTTTGACAATGACGATCAATTTATACAGTTATTTGAAAAATGATCTCAATATTAATTATGTTTTATTGAATCTCAATTTTAAAAGTCTATTTATCAATCAAATAAAATTTATTCTTAATGAATAATATATTGTAGTCAATTTTAAATCACGTTTTATTTCCTCAAAATGTAAAATAAGGCTGAAAATTTAGAAAGTTAATGTGGATAAATATTACTATCTGTATAACTGGTGGAAAAGTGGAATTTTGTTTCTGAAATGAATATTAAATAAATAAGATTCAATATTAATCAAGTGTGTTTATTTTATTTTTTCATTGATGGACAAGAAGTTCAAACGATTCTTCCTGATATTAAATAGAAAGAGATTTCAAAATTGGTGAAAATCCAGCGGAATCTAAATTTGAAAGATGGTCACTTTCTTAATCAGATTCCTAAATTATAAAATATTTTTACAGAAGTGAATCCCTCTTAATCGTAAGGATTTAAAACATTTTGAAGTTTTATCTTTTTTATCTTATCTAACAAATCATTATAATTATATACCTAAATTGATGGACTCATCATCAGAAAGGTCATATAATGATTATATTCGAATAACTTACAATAATTGGGAGTTAAATGAAAATATAATACTCTGGGATTAGTACCGAATTTAAATTACTCTATTATCACTATCCTCCCAATTAACTTAATGTCCTTATGTTATTATTGCTTTGAACTCAATTAGTTAGTCTATATTAACATAATATATTACTTTCATTCACATCAACACATATGTTACCAACCCAGAATGGATAAATATCAGGGTTTGTAGATAATTAAAGGCTATTTGAAGGGTTCCATAACCCTAACTCCTTAACACTTCCAACAATGCACACAGACTCACTTAGAGTAGTTTCGCATCTAACTTTAAAATTCAATTTAATTGCCATTAAACTGAGATTTTCGAGAATTATTGATGTATTATTTTTAATATTTAAATCGTAAATCTGATCCTTAAGAAATAGCGATTTTTTCTAATATTTATTAAAAACAACTTATAAATTAATTAGAAAAAGCAAATCGAAATCTCTTTCGAATAATCTACCTGATTTAAATCTGTATTTAGCTTACAAGAAATTTTATTATCATCTTGCTTCTTTTTATTTTTATTTAATCAATCTTTTTAAAAAAAAAATGAAAAATGAGTAATTTCTAAAAAAAAAATAATAATTTAAACATCAAGATTATAAAATTTTTAAAAAGCAAACAGTTATCTTTTCAATTAACAAATTGAAACTTTCTCGTTAATAGACACATTGTTATATCATGATTTGCCTTTAAAATAATTAAAATTTAGGAGAAAAACTTTATAATTGTTGAATTATTTAAAAAAAAAAAAATATATAATATAATATCAAAAAATTTGTATGATTTAAACTTAATTATTACATAATTAACAATTTTTTCATTTAATCAATTACTGAAAATATTCATTTGTCTTAAACAAAATATCAAATCTCATTCCCTTTTTTTAATGGATATAATCAAATAATTTAATGAATTCAGTCCAACAATCTATATAATGCTATAAATTATGAGTAGTCATAAATTCTTATTTAGATTTCTTTTTTTTCAAAAATTAATAAAACTCTTCATTATAGTTATATTTTTTATAAAATGGGTTTTATTAGCCAATATTTATAAATTATTCAATAAGGCTGCGTTGATTAATTTCAAAATACAATCCTATTAATAGAGCATCGTATTATTAACCATAATTTTAACTTATACAAGTGATAAAATCCCCAAAATAATCCAATTAACCTTATTTAGAAATACTATTAATAACGAAAAATCTCAAAAGTAATAAGATTTTTTCATCATCCTCTTAATAATGCTCTGATAAACTATTTAATTATTTTGTTAATAAGTTTTCCTTTTTATCTGCAAAAGTTATAAGAATTTCCTCATCTTTTTCATTTTGAGGATTATAAAATTATCCAAATAAAATGGGTTTGTATTGAGTTTCCAATAATTTAAGGTAAATGAAAAAAGGAATAAAATATTGAGGTTTAACATAAGATAAGGCAGATGCATATAAAGAACCTTTTTAATTCTCTAAATCAATTAAACCCTGTAGATGCAAAAACCTCAAATTTATATTTAATTATATAAGATCGCAATTAATTTGTTATGATTGTTCTCCAAGTTCAAATGAAGATTTTCTAGAAGTCAATTTTAATGTCTTATAATAAAAGTGAATTGAACGCAATAAAGTAGGATTTTTGATAGTCTCTTTGAATAAATTAAAGGAAGTATTTAATTTTATTTAATTCTTTCCTTGATAATATCCAATATTTAATTTTTCAAAGGCTAATTAAGAAGGCTCGACAAACTCATATTCTTAAAATTCAAAAGGCTAAAGTAACGACTATTCTTTTTAGAATAATCCTATTCCATTACTCTGAAAAACCAAAATTTCTGTTGGAAATTAGATACAACTAGCAGATGCAGTTTATAATCTTAATTCATCAAAATTTATATCAATGTAAGGGGAATCTTTGATTTATTACATAAATTAAGTTATTTTATTTGAATCAATAAGATAATTTGCAAATTTTTATACTCTCTATTATAAAGTGAGTTTTCCAGCAAAGAATTATTGTCCAATATTGTAAAGAACATTAAATTAATCAGATCTTGATAATTCTTAAAAAGGTTTTGTAAATTTAGTATTACTAAATTAATTGAGAATTTGATCATTGTAACCAATGCATTCATTTCGAGTGCAATAATCATGCAATTAATACAATTCTGCAAGAGAATCTAAACTTAATTAAGATTTTGCTGTTAGTAGTTTAATATCAATCCATTCAAAAGATTTATCAAAAATATTTAGAATCAAATAATTTAATTCTTTGAAACTAAAGCATTTCTCTAAGAAAGAGATCTCTGCTAAGATTCTAAATTATTTATTGGAAAAATATACCCACTTATTAAATTATTAGTGAAGAGATAGCGAATTTAACTTCCAGCATCTGGAACCAATAAAAATTAGATTTGTAATTCTCTAAGCCAATCAATGATCATTCTTTTTGGTAAGATATTATCAATAACAGCATCGTTGTAGATTAATTCACGAAATTAAGCTCTTGAATTATGAAATCATGATTTATTTACTTATTTTTTTTGGATTAGCATTTTAATATTAATTTTGGATTTATTTTCTAATGGGTTTATGATGACAAAATAACTATTGGTATAATATTGTGTTCTTTTAACATTTAAAAAAAGTTAGCCATATTTAACTTTAATTCATCATAGTTGATGTCAAAGAGATTTTGGAATTTAATTACTTAATGAAGCAAATAATCTTAATGTATCCCTAAATAACATCCACTTAAAGTTTGCAATTGGCTAGAATTAAATATTCAATTTACTCTCTCTAGATAATATCAAACACTTCCATTATGTGTCTAAGCTTCTGGTTGAGTCTATAAATATTCATGTATTAAAATAATATATAAATTATAAAATTATAGCTGCTATATTTTATTCTTAATTACATTGTGGCTGTTAAAAGAATTGAATATTATAATTATAACTATAAATTGCTAATTATAGAAAAAATTGTCTTATAACTATTGATTATAAAACTTGGAAATTATTAGTAAGTTTTTATAATGTTATAATTTATTCTTCAGAAGATAAAGTGACTCATAAGAAATAAAATAATAGATAGAAGTATTTATTAAAATTTTAAAATTAATATAATTAATATCCAAATAACCATTATCTAAACCAAATCGTAAGATGTTGTAATAAATGATTTTAAAGAAAATTTCAAATTTTAGATTTTTTGAAAATTTTAACTTTTGAATGTTACTTAAATTAGCAATATTAGTTCTATTTTATTTATTAGTGGTAGACATCTATGCTAATTATATTTTTAAGCCTAATTAAGTGTAATTTGATTACATGAAAATTAGCTGATAGCTTATTGATAATATCTAAAATAAAGAATCGAGTAAAAAGTATTTCTTGCTTATCTAAAAATTTTGATGATAATAATTGTTTTTGAAATTTGTTAAATACTACTTTAAAAGTTTCTTAAACTTATATTAGCAGTTAGAATATAGAATAATCAATAGGTTTATTGCTAACGAATAAAAAAATATTAAACAAATTCAGTAAATTAACAGAATGTAGTTTCTTATCTGAATTTGCTGAAAAAATTTAAGATAAATTTGAGCCAAACGATAGAATAAAAAAAATTTTGAATTAGCTCTCCATGCTGACTCATCTTTTTATAGCAAATATCAACAGTTAAAGAACTGAATGCTTTTTAGTATTTTCTTACTAAAGAATAAAAACTGTCTCTGGTTTGGAGATTAATAAAACTAAACTAATATTGCCTTCTGCAATACCAAATAACGAATTGATTAATATAATTTATGTAGTATCCCTGAATAATTGGTCTTAGTCTAAAATAATGTTATAATGAAAGAAGATTTCATAATCAGAATTTAAAAAAAATGTTGTTATCTCGCTTATAATAATAGAAATGATTTAAAGAAGAATACTAGTATTCGATATAAATGCTATTTGATATTTAAGCTAATATATTCAAATAGAGAATTGCAAATATGAGAATCAATTGATTATGACGTATAAAGTGGAAATGAATTAAATCTATCTGATAAGTGAAATTAATAATATATTTGGGGTATTTCATCATTGCGAGTTAATTGAATGAGAATTAAATTAATATCTCAGAAATTTGTAGATTCTAATTTTTTGGTTTAAAAAATTTTAGGAAAATCATCCAATTATCTTAAAAAATTTGAAGAAAAAAACTATTATTAAATTTNATAATGTTATAATTTATTCTTCAGAAGATAAAGTGACTCATAAGAAATAAAATAATAGATAGAAGTATTTATTAAAATTTTAAAATTAATATAATTAATATCCAAATAACCATTATCTAAACCAAATCGTAAGATGTTGTAATAAATGATTTTAAAGAAAATTTCAAATTTTAGATTTTTTGAAAATTTTAACTTTTGAATGTTACTTAAATTAGCAATATTAGTTCTATTTTATTTATTAGTGGTAGACATCTATGCTAATTATATTTTTAAGCCTAATTAAGTGTAATTTGATTACATGAAAATTAGCTGATAGCTTATTGATAATATCTAAAATAAAGAATCGAGTAAAAAGTATTTCTTGCTTATCTAAAAATTTTGATGATAATAATTGTTTTTGAAATTTGTTAAATACTACTTTAAAAGTTTCTTAAACTTATATTAGCAGTTAGAATATAGAATAATCAATAGGTTTATTGCTAACGAATAAAAAAATATTAAACAAATTCAGTAAATTAACAGAATGTAGTTTCTTATCTGAATTTGCTGAAAAAATTTAAGATAAATTTGAGCCAAACGATAGAATAAAAAAAATTTTGAATTAGCTCTCCATGCTGACTCATCTTTTTATAGCAAATATCAACAGTTAAAGAACTGAATGCTTTTTAGTATTTTCTTACTAAAGAATAAAAACTGTCTCTGGTTTGGAGATTAATAAAACTAAACTAATATTGCCTTCTGCAATACCAAATAACGAATTGATTAATATAATTTATGTAGTATCCCTGAATAATTGGTCTTAGTCTAAAATAATGTTATAATGAAAGAAGATTTCATAATCAGAATTTAAAAAAAATGTTGTTATCTCGCTTATAATAATAGAAATGATTTAAAGAAGAATACTAGTATTCGATATAAATGCTATTTGATATTTAAGCTAATATATTCAAATAGAGAATTGCAAATATGAGAATCAATTGATTATGACGTATAAAGTGGAAATGAATTAAATCTATCTGATAAGTGAAATTAATAATATATTTGGGGTATTTCATCATTGCGAGTTAATTGAATGAGAATTAAATTAATATCTCAGAAATTTGTAGATTCTAATTTTTTGGTTTAAAAAATTTTAGGAAAATCATCCAATTATCTTAAAAAATTTGAAGAAAAAAACTATTATTAAATTTATATGGAAAGTAAGAGGTAAGAAATTAATTGACACAATTTAGAAAGACAATGAATAACCTTTATTAAAATAAAGATTTGAACCTTTTTCAATAGAGGAATCTAAAGAAAAAATTGAAATTGAAGAGGAAAGCAAATTTAATTAAATTAAAGACTTTATGTCTATTTATATGGGAAGGTTAATCCACGAAATTAATAAAACAATTTCATAAAAAACTCAAAATACAATGCATTTACATTTATCCCCTTAGTTTTATTTGAATAATTCCATTAATTTATAAACTTATTTTATTTAGGTTTAACGATAACTTAATGTATAAGTTTTTTAAAAGTAGGTAAAATGATTTGCTATTAAAGGATTTTTAATTGATTATTTAGGACCACTTGCTTTAGTAGTTGCAATATCTTTACTAAAAGAATTGTATGATGATATATAGAGACATATGAGGGATCATTAAATAAATAATTATGAGTATGGTTTAATAACAAGAAATGGGATTGAAAAGATATCAAGTGGGAATATTAAAGTAGGCCAAATAGTGGAAGTTAAATGTAATGAGAGAATACCAGCAGATTTGCTAGTTTTATATGCTGAGTAAAAAGTTTAATTGATAATTAAAGTGATGAATAAGGAAATGTATTTATTAGAACAGATTAATTGGATGGTGAAACAGATTGGAAATTACGAAAGGCGGTTAAAGCAACTTAAAATTTAATTAAAAGTGGTTCAGATCCTAGTTTATTGATATCATCTAGTAGTTATGTAACATGTTAAGAACNAATACCAAATAACGAATTGATTAATATAATTTATGTAGTATCCCTGAATAATTGGTCTTAGTCTAAAATAATGTTATAATGAAAGAAGATTTCATAATCAGAATTTAAAAAAAATGTTGTTATCTCGCTTATAATAATAGAAATGATTTAAAGAAGAATACTAGTATTCGATATAAATGCTATTTGATATTTAAGCTAATATATTCAAATAGAGAATTGCAAATATGAGAATCAATTGATTATGACGTATAAAGTGGAAATGAATTAAATCTATCTGATAAGTGAAATTAATAATATATTTGGGGTATTTCATCATTGCGAGTTAATTGAATGAGAATTAAATTAATATCTCAGAAATTTGTAGATTCTAATTTTTTGGTTTAAAAAATTTTAGGAAAATCATCCAATTATCTTAAAAAATTTGAAGAAAAAAACTATTATTAAATTTATATGGAAAGTAAGAGGTAAGAAATTAATTGACACAATTTAGAAAGACAATGAATAACCTTTATTAAAATAAAGATTTGAACCTTTTTCAATAGAGGAATCTAAAGAAAAAATTGAAATTGAAGAGGAAAGCAAATTTAATTAAATTAAAGACTTTATGTCTATTTATATGGGAAGGTTAATCCACGAAATTAATAAAACAATTTCATAAAAAACTCAAAATACAATGCATTTACATTTATCCCCTTAGTTTTATTTGAATAATTCCATTAATTTATAAACTTATTTTATTTAGGTTTAACGATAACTTAATGTATAAGTTTTTTAAAAGTAGGTAAAATGATTTGCTATTAAAGGATTTTTAATTGATTATTTAGGACCACTTGCTTTAGTAGTTGCAATATCTTTACTAAAAGAATTGTATGATGATATATAGAGACATATGAGGGATCATTAAATAAATAATTATGAGTATGGTTTAATAACAAGAAATGGGATTGAAAAGATATCAAGTGGGAATATTAAAGTAGGCCAAATAGTGGAAGTTAAATGTAATGAGAGAATACCAGCAGATTTGCTAGTTTTATATGCTGAGTAAAAAGTTTAATTGATAATTAAAGTGATGAATAAGGAAATGTATTTATTAGAACAGATTAATTGGATGGTGAAACAGATTGGAAATTACGAAAGGCGGTTAAAGCAACTTAAAATTTAATTAAAAGTGGTTCAGATCCTAGTTTATTGATATCATCTAGTAGTTATGTAACATGTTAAGAACCAATTGCAAATATTTATTAATTTTCAGGATTGTTTAATTATAAATATCAAAAAGAATCCTTATCTTTAGAACATGTGATGTGGGCAAATACAGTATTAGCAACAGGTAGAATTTATGGATTAGTTATATTAAATGGAAAGGAAACAAGAATGGAAAAAGAATAGTAAAACACCAAAGACTAAATTTGGTATACTTGATGGTATTTTGATATTTTAAAATTAGATGAGGTAAATTGGTTAAGTTTTTTATTATTTATTATGATGTCAATTATGGCTGGGATAGTAACAGCATTTAGTGGTTAGCCAGCAACAGTTAGTGTAGTTACTGTAGCTTATATTAGATATTTAGTATTACTTAGTAATATCATTCCAGTAGCTATTTGATTTAAATTTTAGATATCTATGAGAGTTAACTTAGAATTTGCAAAATTGGTTTATTCTTATAAAATCAATTTTGATCCTTAAATTGAAGGAACAATTACTAGAAATTCAAATATCCCAGAGTCTCTTGGGAGAATACAATATCTATTAAGTGATAAAACTGGAACTTTGACTTAAATGATATGATTTTCAAAAAATTGTCATTGACATCAGCTTAATTTTCAGAAGAAGATAAAGATGAAATGAAAAAAGTTTTATTAGAACAATGCAAAATAAATGAATATCCTTTATAAGATGTTGTCAATTTTATAAATAAAAACAATACAAATTGAGATTAAAAAGAGAAAGAGATTAAGTTTTTAGAGATTTAATGTTTATGTCATAATGTGACACCAATATATGAGGGAGATAATCAAAAAACAGGAAATGATGTTGGTATGATTCAATTAGATGATGTAGGAATTGGTATTGAAGGAAAAGAAGGAAAATAGGCTGCATTAGCTTCTGATTTCTCAATAATCAAATTTAAATATTTGAATGTATTCTTCCTCTGGCATGGCAGATTATCATATAAAAGAAGTGCTTTGTTGTCATATTTGTTATTCATAGAGGATTAATCATATCTGTAATTTAAGCTGTTTTTATGTTTGTATTTTACTTCTTATCCATCAGTATTTTTAGTGGTGGTTTATTACTTGGATATTCCACTATTTATACGTATTCATATTTATTTTATCTTTAGAATGTTTCCAGTTTTTTTCGATTATATTTGATGAAGATGTAGATATTAAAATTGCTCTCCAATATCCTCCTCTCTATAGATCATTATAAAAAGGTAGAGATCTTAATACCAAGACATTTATGGTCTGGGTTTGGAAATCTATATTTCAAGGAGTAATCATTATGATTTTGGCTTTGGCTATGTTTAAGAATATTTTTCCTAGAAATTGAAACAGTGGCTTTTACTGCTCTTATTTTTAATCAATATGCATTGACCTTAAGTGAAGTAACTTTACTCTTTTTAGTTTTAGTTGCATTCTTTACACATTGTTATGATTATTTCAAATGTTGCCTCAGCTTTTATTTACATTTTAAGGTAAGTTGGTCTCCTTGCTTTATTGCCTAAAAAATTTTAAAGAGATATGATCCATCTGACTATGAAAAAATAATGGCTAATGTAAAGAGAGAATTAATCAATACCAAAATTTTTAAGTGATTGTTAAAATCTTATTTTATTTAACACAATGTTTTGTTTTTCATTTATTTATTAATATAAACAAAATACTATACTTATTCATTTTAAATATTAAAATAGAGTAAGATATCCAAATTGTAACTGTTTTTTATAAAGAAAATAACCAACATTATAGCATTAACAAAAACTTAATTCTATGATCTTGTTTTTGTAAATGATCAATAAAATAATTCCCTATAGTTATGAATTTTATGATGAAATCTTTTAAAAATATTTATCGTAATAATAAAAAATTATAATAAGTGTTAGAAATGACTTAATAACTGTCTCATTAATGGGCTGGGATGGTTCAGAAGTAAATGGCTGAAAAAGTACTAAATGAGAATCAACAAAAATATGATTAATAGTAGAGAAAGTAAAGATACAAGGAAGAATTAGAAACAGACATGAAATTGAAATAATAGAAAAAAATAATTTAACATCAATAAGACTAACAATTAGAATCTTAAATGTTAGAAACTCTTCGGTAAAGAGAATCTAAGAAATTAAAAGAAATGGAACAAAGAAAAATTAAACAAATAGAAACTAGTTTAGAGAATCTCAATCATTTATTAATTCGAAAAAAAATGAATTAAGAAAGATCATACTAAAGTTTATTACTCGAATAAGAAGACATAAAATAAGAGAAATTAAAAGAGATAAAAAGTTTAGAAAGAATTAAAATGTTAAAAGATGAAGAATCAAGAAAATTACGCGAAAATTATGATTCTATCATTCAATAAAAATTGAACTAAAAATAATAAATCAAATCAAAGTTATTGAAAGTTTAAGAAACCGATCCAGATTAAATGGTTCAATTAGAGAGAGGGGAAGCATCATTATATTAGAATGAATTAAATAAATAACTAGAGGAAAAAAAAAGAAAAATACTTGAAATACAAGCAAAAAAATAAGAAGAAAGATTAAGAGTAGAATAAAAAATTGCTTTCGAAAAATAAAAGATATTGGAAAATAAATTAAAGGATTACAACATGTATAAGTAATATGAAAATGATAATTATGAATTATCAAATCAAAGAAAATAAATAGGTCATAGTTCATCTATGGAATCATATAATATTAAATTGAATGATAATAATTAAAAGAAATTACCTCATATATATTCAGATAATTATCAAGCATAAGAAAGAAATAAATAATTAAATTTGCTTGATTAGGATTTACTAAAATATTAAAAATTATAACAATAATAACTTTAACAAGAGTAGACTTATAATCCAAATAATCAAGTTTTAAGAGCATAGCAACCTATTTAAACACCTCTAAAGACACCACTATCTTAATCATCAAAATAATCAAAATAATCAAAGAAATCCAAATAATTAATCAATCCAGTTCATCAAGATGGTCCTGGATATTCATAAATACATCAAAGTAAAACATAAACTCCAAAATCCAAATAATCAAAGAAATCACTACCTTAGCCTATTGAGATTCTTGATTCCTCTAATCAGTAAGTTAAACCTAAATACAAAAATTATAACATCTTAACAGGAATCTTGCATATGTAGTGATATGATGTTTATTATATGCTAATTCAAAATAATATATAATTATCATAATTCAAATCTTCTAATGTATTTATATATACACAAATGCTTAATTTATTCACATTTTTGACTTATCTAATTTAAACAATGTAAATTTTGCTAGTTCTAATCTAATGGAACCCTGTGAGTTAAGCTTAAAAAGCTTCTTACTTGATTCTGTCCAAATAATTTTGGAATTCAATTCTATTGTTTCTCTGATCGATTCTAAATAAATAAAATCTTTAGAACCTACAGTTTTAAAGAAGATATAGTAATTACATGTTTATTGTCATTATGCATTTTCTTTGGTTTAATTTCATTTGATGAAAAGTAAATCAGAAATCTCAGCTATGAGTCGAATCTTTTGTCTGAATATGCTAGTTAACCAATTTCTACAATCATGAATACTCCTTATGAGAATCCCATTGAACTTATAATAGTACATTATTAGGATTTTAAAGAATTCTAATATTAAATTTTATAATATATCTCCAAAAAATAATTACCTCATCCATATTCTTTTCCTATAATTTAATTAATTTTTATTACCTTCTTAAATATTTAATAAAGGAGGAAAAGGACAAATAATTTTTGATACTTCATAAGGAAGATCTAGATACTCAAATTCTACATATTTAGATTAAGTTATCTAGTGATGCAAATCCTCCATATGTTGTTTCAAGATAAATTCATCGTTTTTTCATCCAAGTAAGGCCAAGATTTTATAAGTTTTCATCAATTATAATTTTTCACATTAATTTTAATTACGATTAGTGTTAAGAGAATTGAATTGAAAATAATTAGATAATTAAATATATATAAAAATAGAAATCTAAAAATGAAAAAGAAATCTAAGAAACATCATAAGAAAAAACATCATTCATCATCATCTTCATCTTCTAAATCATCTAAATCCAGATCAAGGTCAAGATCAGAATCAAAATCTGAAAAATCAAAATCAAATTAATTTAACAAAGAAAAGAATGTCGATCTTCCTAATTAAGATTAGTAATAAATAGAATAGATAAATTAGATCTACTACACGACCATATAAAGTTAATAAATTCGCTCTTGGATCTATGCTTTTTGAGAATAGAAGAACAAATGATAGAATGGATAAGAATGAAGTGTAAAATGCAAATACTTTATTGAAGAAAATAGATAAATCAGGAAGAGATGCTATATTGTTATCAGCTGCAATAAACACTGTGTAATAAGATAACAAAAGAGAAGAGTAAGTAGTTAATTTTCATTTAGATATTAAGTTGAATTAATAAATGGATAATATGTTAAGATTGCTAAGCCATATAGTTGTGGTTTCAGTAATTGTTAAATGAGATTTGTGACAACAGAGGAATTAACAAAACATTTAAAAGAACATGACAGAGTATAATCTATGAAAAATACACAAAGAGCTTAAAAGTTTATGGAAAACTTGTGAAATTTATGTTTTAGTTAAAATTTAGTTAAAATATCAATTAAATATGGTAGCATTTTATTAGATAAATTGTGATAGTATTTGTTATGTTTACTATAACCAAGAGTGATTATATGCTTACTTTGCTGTTAATCTTTCTCTGGATAATCTTTTAACTAAGCTTTCAATGAATTCTCTTAACTCTTTAGATGCTGAAGAAGGTATCATAAAACAAGCCTAAGTTAATTTAAAATTCCATTTACAGTTTTCATTAATTCTTATTAATGTTCTTTCCAAGGAGGTTTTCCAAAACATAATTCATATGTTAAAACACCTAAACCCCAAATATCACTTTTTTTATCATACATATCTCCTTCAAGAATTTCAGGTGAAGCATAAATTATAGTTCCACATTATGTTTGTCTATAAGCATGAGGAGAGTACACACAAAATGAAAAATCAGCAATTTTAGCTTAGCCAAAACTTAAAAGTATATTATCTGGTTTAATATCTCGATGTATAACATCGTTATTATGTACATACATTAATGCAAAGGTGATTTAGTGGACATAATTAGATGCTTCTTTTTCTTAGAATCGTTAATTTGGTTGTTTTTATAGAAGGCTGTGTAATTGACCATGTGAACAGTATTCTAAAACCAAAATGATTTCAGTTTCTAAGTGTTAAATATAGGAATAGATTACAAGTTTAGAAAAAAGTGTATAATTTAGTAATGTTTGGGTGATCAAGTAGATATTGAATCTTAATCTCCCAAGCTAACTGAGCTTCCATAATTTCTTCAACAATTTATTTTTTTTGAATTACTTTCAATGCAACTAGAAACCCAGTTTGAAGATGTCTTGCTAAAAAGACTTCACTGTATTTACCATCTCCAAGTTTCTTTATTATTTTAAAATTCTTAAAGCGTTCTTCAGTCTTTTTGGGTGGAGATTATTATAACAAAGCTTATTTCTAATATAAGAATAATAGTATACTTATTTATACTATTCTTTTAAATTTTACATTAGCGGAATTAACGGAATTAATGGTTGTCTGTCAATAATTTATTATGATTGGTGCAATGCAATAGTTTTTGCAGGAATAATGTCTTATTTCTAAGCAACTATCAATTCTTAAGATGTTATTTTTTGTGAGTTAAGAATGGTTTTACTATCAGATTCAGCATTAATATTTTGTTAATTTTAATTAGTTTTGATATTTGATTCAAATTGTTTGTGTTAATTATAATTGGTTCTAGATTTCTAAAGAACTTATCCAACATATGAAAGTATTTGATTATTATGATAGGTTTATTGCTAAATTCTAGAATACGGTTTATACGACTAATATGAGTTGTTATTCATTTAATTATTTTAATTTAATAAACACATAATTAATGTTAATTGATTAAAATACTTGGCATGGATTTATCGATCTTTCTGATTAGACCAATATAGAGAGTTGGCTAGGATGGATTATTTATTTTTGCTGTTTGATCGCTGCAATGATTTTAGGTCATTGGTTGTTGACAGTAATTTTGCAATTATTTTAAAGTCATTCATTGTTCCAGATTATGATATACATTCCAAGTTTACAGTCTTTTTATTTTGTTTAACCTTTAGTCTTAGTACTATGGCATTGGGAATGTTCATTTTTGAGATTTTCAAGATTGGACAATCCTAAACCAGACCAAAATTATGGTCATTCACTTTAATGAGCGATGTTTTATTATTGCTTTATATATTGCCAAACTTATCTTTTTATTTCATATTCCATCGTATGGGATTTGGCAAACATATAATATTAAGTAAGTATTACCTTTATACTTTTAGTATTTTGGTTAAGTGCTTTGACTATTCTTGTAGCATCATATTTTTTTGATAAATTACCGATCACAAATGTTTAATTAAATTTACCTTCTTAAATTGATTTCATTACAAACATAGGGACTTACATGATAGGAATTTTGTCAGGATTTGGTGCTGTCTATTGTCCTTGGGCATATTTTTAAATGATTAGTTTGGATAGTAATATCTTTATTTAGAATAGTTAACAAGGTTAAATAAGGGAAAAAATCAATCATAAGCAACATTTATTTCATAATTGCTGAAATCGAAAAATCTGTAGTGAAATTAGTACTGATTAATGAGGAATATAGAAATAAAAAAAATGGAGAAGTTCAATCTACATTTTTTTGGGCCAGAATATAAAACTGGTTTAAAAAAAAACCAAGAGAATCTTAACAAAGAAAAGATTTGAAAGAAGAACTTCGTCAATTGAAAGTCATTCATAATTAATTGTATGATCATTTTAAAGATTATATTGATGAAGAAACTAGATATTATTAATCCAAATCATTATATGGAAAATTTCTTAAAAGATTAGCATGGATTGTTTTGATATATTGTATATACAAAATGATTATGAGTACAATCAACGCTATTTGGGGAAGGAAAAAATCAATTGATCCAATCAGTAGAATTTTAAAAGTTATTTTACCTTTCTTTGGATTTGAATTAGATCAAATCACTTATGAAACTCTTGCTATGTATGGAACATTCATTTTTATGGGATACTTGATGTTTAGCAATGTTAGATCCTTCTCTTTAAATTTAGTTAATATATTTAACACCTTTATGGGAATGGCTGTACTTTAGAAATTACCTTATGAAATCATGGTGCTTTTTATTGCCGAAGTTTTTGGTGTATATCTTTTATCAACAGTTATTTTATTATAGACAAGTTTACCAGATAGTTTCATATCTAATCTTAAAGAATATTCTTAAGGTATTGAAATATTAAGCCATTATGAAAATATTGATAGATTTTTTTTAATGAGTGGTTTTATTAGTACAATAATAATATATGCAAATTATCATAGAAGAAAATAAAAATTAGAAAACTTTGAGAAATCAGATTTGAAATTACGGGATTGAATTTTGTAATATATCTGCTCTATTATATTCATTTAATTATCAGTTCTTCAATATGACCATGTTTTCAATTGCTTTTTTTGTTATTGTTTCATCCTTAAACAGTTCGTGTTACAAAGCTTACTCCATAGGTATTTACTTCTCCAGTTTACATAGCAAATCTTTGAAGTTTGGAGATAATTATTATCCTCTTATTACATAGGTCAATAATTTGTATAATAAATAGGAATCTACTAATTCATCAAACATTTATCCTTTTATTACTTCTGAAGAAACAAATTCAGATAACACTTGTTTATTGTACACTTTAAATTTGTAAGTAGAATAGCTGAAATTGCAAATAGCAATCTTTTCTATTGAATCTGGCTCCTATTATTAGGAATCACTACTATCTAATTAGGATTTAAACAAACTATAATTATACTCATCATATGAATGTAATTAAATGTAACCAATAACTATTTGGCTATCTATCTTATTTGAAATTCTAGTAATTAAAATACTGTATACCACTCAATTATTTTATTTATGACAGATATTCATCAAGGGTAAATGGGATATTTTCACAAATTTAAAATATTGTAGTAGCATTTTGAAATTGAATTTCATGACACCTAATAACTCCTTTAAAATTTGAAACTGAATCATGAATTATTAAATTAGAAATCGAACTATTATCTAATAAAAATTGCTAAACTGATAATTTTAATCCTAATGATTTGTTAACGCATTCAATATGAGTTTTTTTATTATTATTTAATATTTAATACTTCTAAGAATAAGGACAATAAAGTTAATGCAATTCTATTAGAGTATCGAAAAACAGTTAAGCTTCTATCTTTAATTTATCACACTTAATAATAATTCCAAATTTATTCACATATTATTGTTTAGGAATTTCTTATAGAATTGAATATGCCAAAGGAATGATTTCTAAAAATAATAATTTAATACCGACAATATGTTAATTTTCTGATCCGTAAAGAATAAGCAATTTATTTTCAATCAATTAAAATTTTCTTCTCACAAAGGCATTATTATCTGTTTTTTGCCAAACAAATCTTTCTTCTAAATCCAATTTATTAAACCATAAATTCATAATTAATGAATGTTGGAGATATTAAATAACTTTTTCACTAATCAACCACTTATAATATTAGTCTTCAGATTGAGGACAAAAATGGTCTAAGTAATCTAAGATTAACTTTTAATGATTAATTTTATCTTCGTCAAAATTGGCTTTCTTTATTGGAGATACGTTGTAATTATTCTTATTGTAAAAACCAGAAAGGTCTAATGAGTAATTTCCCATGTCAATTTCTGGCTCTTATTCCATTTCAATTTCAGACTCATCAAAACATGAATATTGTTCAATAAAAACTTCTTCTTTGTTGATAAAATTTTTTTTTCAAAAAGCTTCATCAGTTTAGATTATCGAGTAAAATAAAGCTTTAGGTAAATTGCTCAGCTTGAGATATATTTTGGATAGATTACAACTAACTTGAAACTTTATTTGTATATTGGAAACAATTAAGAGAATAACTGTTGATCTTGATGTACTTAACCTAAGAACGAATGTAATGATTTTATTATTACTTAAAAACATTAAAAGTTTGCCGTCGCATTTCTGATAAATCCAGTGATTCCTATAAGTTTAATTATTTCATATACCAAGCACCCTATTTAGTAATAAATATACCTAAAGATTAAAAATTAAAAACATCTCTTTGCTACTTTGAACTCAGATGATATTAACTAATCATTATACTTAATTGTAGAACTTTAAATTTATCATATTCTTTCATTTGATATCTGTTTTGTGCTTATTCTTATTTTCCGAAAAGACATCCCATAAAAATAATAAATAGTTGTTAAATTAATGCTTCGGTCTGCTTTATATGAAATAGCTCATGATTACATTATTCTAGGAGAAGATAGTTTTTAGAATCAAGAAATTGAAAACTACAAACCTAATCAAATTCCACAATCACCTAAATCAGAAAACCTTGTGGATCGATTCTAAAATTTTTCTAATCTACTGCAGGCACAAAAAAAAAAGAAATAAACAAGAAGAGCTTAAATATCTATTGATACTAACTTTAACACACTTTAAGGCTCTCCAGAAAAAAATTAAAATGTTGCTAACAGCAGCTCTAAACATAAATCTACCTATTCATCTCCTAAAAACTTTGTTTTTTATGATAGATAAATTCGTTGGTTGAATTAAGTAAAATAAGCTATCAAAGTAAAGGAGGCTATATAAAAATAGAGATAAAGTGTAGAATGTCCTTTTAAACCAAAGAAATGTCTAACTTCTTTGCCTTAAACAACAAAAAACCAATCAAAAAAACCTTATAAAATGAGGTAAGATTCATATTCAACAATTCATTTTTTAAAACAGAAGTTTTATTGAATTTTGCTTATATATTATTATAAATTTTATATGTAGTACGAGTATCTGTTAGAGTCACATTATTATTTATAATTTTTTATTAATAATAATATTAAATTTCTTGAAGCAAGTCCTGAGTTGAATAAAACGAGTTGCATTAATGCACTTTAAATCTTATAATTCAGGAAGGATATTTAAATAAATATAATTAATTTTATTAAAATTGATATTAAAAAATGGCAGAATAAGTGGTTCCTAGTAGAATGAACTTGGCTTTATATAAAGCGAAGATTATCTCAGCCAAAAAGGGTCATGAATTGTTAAAGAAGAAATGTGATGCTTTGAAAACAAAGTTCAGAATAGTGATGGTTGCTTTATTGGAAAATAAAAAATCTATGGGTGATGATGCATAGGAAGCATTATTATTATTTGCTAAGGCTTAATATGCAGCAGGAGAATTTCAGTATTAAGCATATTAAAAATAGTTAAAATGTGAAAGATGCTGTGAAGAGAGCCACAATCAGATTGGAAATCTCAAGTGAAAATATTGCAGGTGTCATGTTACCTGAAGTAAATATTAGAGAAGTTGATGATTCAGATTCAAGTATGAGTCAAATTGGTTTGGCTAGAGGTGGTCAGTCTATTTAGAGATGCAGAGATAAGTTTAAGGATTTATTAGTTCTTCTTATTAAAATTGCATCATTTTAAGTAATTACATTAATTAGATCTCAAGACTTCTTTCGTTTCCTTAGATCAAGTAATCAAGGTTACTAATCGAAGAGTCAATGCTCTTGAATATGTTGTCATTCCTAGATTCACTGCTACTATGAACTACATTGATATGGAATTGGATGAAATGTCAAAAGAAGATTTTTTTAGGTTTATTTCTAAATTATCATATAGATTGAAGAAAGTGCTTGACAATAAGAGAAAAATTATTGAAAAACAAAATTAAGAAACAGCAAAAAGATAAATAGAAGTTGAAGACATGAATTGGTAAGAAAGAGAGAGTTATGATATGTTGGCAGAAGAATAACCTGATGAAGATGTATTCTTTTGACATTTATACATAATGCATAGTAACGTATAAAAAATTTACACTTAATATTTTGAAATACAAAGAATAATTAACATTCCAAAGCTATTTTTTCTAAGAAAGTATAACCCTTTATTAATTTTGTAACATAACATTAGAAAACAATGAAATTTCCTCTAAACTTTTTTTGATTGTGCATCTATAGATTGTCTAAATTTGCATTTAAACGTTGTTTATCGCTCTTCTTCTCCTAATAATAATCTTCTGATGTTGAAAAACCAGTTATATTCTTATCAAGATTTTTTAAATTAATCTTTCAACACTGAAGTTTATTGTTTTCAATTTCCTCTAGAGCAGTTAGAGAATTAAATCTAGATTATTTCATTTTTATTGGATACGAATCATTATTTCATTTTATTAGGATTACAATCTGGATGTTAAGATTACTACTTAAAATTTTAAGTGATTTAGATAGATTATCTTCATTTAAATGTCATCTTTGGAAAGAAAACTATAAATTCTATAGTTATATAATGATCTTATATATTTAAAAATACGTGAAAATAAATTAATATTTATAATATTGTACATATATGACAAAATTTACATCCTCATTTATCAATTAAAGTTGTTGTTAATGGTATCAGTAATTTAAATAAAATTTCAAATATTTTTTATGTTGATGATAGCAGAGAATTCAAAGTACCAAATCTTAATATTAATTTAACCAATAAGGATATTTAAAAATTTCTTTAAATATCAAGTAATTTTGAAATAGAAAAGGTAAAGTAAATTAATAAAGCTGGAATATTTAGTGTAAAATAAATTGAAAATATTTTAATAATTATATGAATGTTCTTTTAAATTAAAAATCAAATTATAAACATATTTTAAATAATTATTAAAACTACTAAAGAAAGTATTCATAAGGCATTAGTAAAATAGAAATATTAGAATATAAATATAAAATCAAAGTCATAGAATAGTCTTTATAAAAGAATCTTATTATATGAATTTTGAGAAATATTTGATGTTGATTTTATAAAAATATTTAATATAAACTAGGAAATCGATTAATCTTAGATAAATATTGAAAATAATTATGAATTTGATACAAAATATCTAGTGAGTAAAAGAGCATTTGGGAAGGTTTATAGAGGAAATTTAACTTCAGATAATGAAGTAGCTATTAAAAAAATAGATAGTTCTATTATCAATAAGGAGCAATATTAAATGATACATCAAGTATCTATGTAGAATGAAAATGTTTTAGACTTTGAGATTCAAATAATGAAGTTACTTGATCATCCTAATATTGTAAGTTTATAGATAAATTTAATACAGATCGTTCATTTTATTACAGTTATAGAGAATTGTGCAGATGGTGATCTTAAAATATTATGAAAGGAGTAGGTATTTTAGAATCTGAAAATAATTAGATTTTTTATTATAGATTATTTAAATATTAATCGGTAATTATTACAATTAATTATATGTAATTGGCTATTGATAAAGAAAAATANGTTAGAGAATTAAATCTAGATTATTTCATTTTTATTGGATACGAATCATTATTTCATTTTATTAGGATTACAATCTGGATGTTAAGATTACTACTTAAAATTTTAAGTGATTTAGATAGATTATCTTCATTTAAATGTCATCTTTGGAAAGAAAACTATAAATTCTATAGTTATATAATGATCTTATATATTTAAAAATACGTGAAAATAAATTAATATTTATAATATTGTACATATATGACAAAATTTACATCCTCATTTATCAATTAAAGTTGTTGTTAATGGTATCAGTAATTTAAATAAAATTTCAAATATTTTTTATGTTGATGATAGCAGAGAATTCAAAGTACCAAATCTTAATATTAATTTAACCAATAAGGATATTTAAAAATTTCTTTAAATATCAAGTAATTTTGAAATAGAAAAGGTAAAGTAAATTAATAAAGCTGGAATATTTAGTGTAAAATAAATTGAAAATATTTTAATAATTATATGAATGTTCTTTTAAATTAAAAATCAAATTATAAACATATTTTAAATAATTATTAAAACTACTAAAGAAAGTATTCATAAGGCATTAGTAAAATAGAAATATTAGAATATAAATATAAAATCAAAGTCATAGAATAGTCTTTATAAAAGAATCTTATTATATGAATTTTGAGAAATATTTGATGTTGATTTTATAAAAATATTTAATATAAACTAGGAAATCGATTAATCTTAGATAAATATTGAAAATAATTATGAATTTGATACAAAATATCTAGTGAGTAAAAGAGCATTTGGGAAGGTTTATAGAGGAAATTTAACTTCAGATAATGAAGTAGCTATTAAAAAAATAGATAGTTCTATTATCAATAAGGAGCAATATTAAATGATACATCAAGTATCTATGTAGAATGAAAATGTTTTAGACTTTGAGATTCAAATAATGAAGTTACTTGATCATCCTAATATTGTAAGTTTATAGATAAATTTAATACAGATCGTTCATTTTATTACAGTTATAGAGAATTGTGCAGATGGTGATCTTAAAATATTATGAAAGGAGTAGGTAACTTACTTTTTTGTTTTTATCTTAACTTTAATACATAAGATATTTTTGATTCACAATATAAAACTTAATATAAAAGTAATAGAAATTCAATATATTTATAAAGAAATAAAATTATATTAAGGCTTGAACCTTGCCATTTCACTCATCTTAATGAAGCAAGAGCAATAAGAAATAGCTGCTAATTTATATTTCAAAAGTGACTTTAAATGGAAAAATTTTAATTATTAATTTCATTATTAAATTTAATGTATTTTTTTTAACCAAAAGTAATAGAAAAAGAAAAAGATTTTTTGTGCAAAAAACACCAACAACAGATCGAATTTTTTGTTCTTGATTCTTAATCCTCAAGAGATGAAAGGCTTTTATGCAAGTCCTGTCCTCGATAGTAACTAACTAAAAATTTTTACCCTTTACTTTTTTAAAAAACCAAGGGGGGGGTATTGCAATCCCAAGTTCTTTTTTAAAAAACCTTAAAATTTTTAGACATCGATGTTCTCATCTAGATCGAATGTTGAAAAATTAAAACAAATTAACCATTCTCTTAAAAATGTTGTAACTGAAATATAAAAAAAATTACATTTAATACTTTTACTTCTAAATCGATCCAAAAAAAAAATTAATTAAAAATATTCTTTATAATTTTAATAATAATCAATTCTTTTATTAAAATTGATCTAACTTACCTTCCAAAAATATACTTCCTTTAGATTTTAATAATTATTTCAAGTCATAGCCTTGATGGTTAACAAAATCTCCTTTAAGTATGAGAGCTCCTTTTGCTTGAAATATTGCTTAATAGGATATAAGATGGATATTAAGATTGGATGTACCTAAATATGATTAATAATTAATACTTTCAGCAAAAAGATCATTAGAATTTAATGGTAATTTAAATTATGCTAGTAAATCTTTATACTTTTTATCTGAGGGCTGTATTTGTTATCCTGTTGAAACATCCCATAATCTGATTGACTTATCTTCACTACCAGATGCTAAAGTAGTTCCATCTGGTGAGAAGCATACTGAGTATAACCAATTACTAT